GGTAAATAATGGTGATGTGAGGAGTAAACATAACATATGGTAAATAATGGTGATGTGTGGAGTAAACATTATGGTAAATAATGGTGATGTGTGGAGTAAACATAACGTATGGTAAATAATGGTGATGTGAGGAGTAAACATAACATATGGTAAATAATGGTGATGTGTGGAGTAAACATTATGGTAAATAATGGTGATGTGAGGAGTAAACATTATGGTAAATAATGGTGATGTGGGGAGTAAACATAACATATGGTAAATAATGGTGATGTGTGGAGTTAACATAACATATGGTAAATAATGGTGATGTGTGGAGTAAACATTATGGTAAATAATGGTGATGTTAGGAGTAAACATATGATAAATAATGGTGAAGTGTGGAGTAAACAAAACATATGGTAAAAAATGAAACAGCTGTATAAATAGCGATCAACATTATTGTATCTGAAGTACATTACATCTTCTCATAAATTCTACTCAGCATCTATTTGTGGTGTACAAAAGACTTAAATGGTTTCCAAAGACATTTATTATGATGTAATACAATGCTGTACAGCTTCAATAGATTATAATTTACGGCAGCTTTCCCTGAATAAATATACCATCATCCCTATCATGTTATGATAACTACATTAACTAAATATTCTGATCTCTATCGCAGAATTTCTTCCAAGTGTATTTTCAGAGGTCAAAAAAAAAAAAAATAATGCAGATGGCTTGATGAAAAATTATCATGTGTTAGGTTTTTGTGTGTGTATCATTTTTCAAATACTAAAATGGGATTTTGCACATAGTGCTTTTATTTTCCATTATTTTATTAATAATTTAAATCCATACATCAAATATCTGTAACACAGTTCCTGAACAGGAAGGTGATTGGTCTAAACACCGATGAAACAGCTTGGCGACAACACCATGAAATAACAGTTTCCCTGTAAAGCAACATAATTGGATAATCTTTCCCCTGTCAGATGTAATGGTGTTTATGATCAATAGATGACGTTTGGAGCAGACTTCTGATGGTAGTGTTGTGTGGGGGAGGAAGTGGGTGGACGTATAACACACGTGTTACTACACTCCATCTGTTCACAATTCCTCAACAAATCCTGTTCTATTTTAACCTTTAACACAAAAATTCCTCAAGCAACATGGGATTGCCTTTACAAGCACATAAGTTCATATTAATACTTATATATACATGAAACTTTATCATCGTTCTTTTATTTCTCATTATTTAACTCTGACAGAAGACTGGATTTAGAGTTTTATCATTACAATCTAATCCATTTCAAAACATCACGGATGTGAAGTCTTATTAATTATCTTATTAATCAATACAACTATGTGAGTCAGATAATTTATTTCGTGTTTATATAGAGATCATACATTTCAGATGTGAAACATGTTCCTAAATAGGGATAAATGGGTGACAAAATAATGGCCCCCACCCCAACTGTTACATGTAATAACCCTAAAGGGTCATTATGGCTTATCATAAAACAAACATCTGGTACTCAAATTTGAGGGTGGTCTTATTGTAGGATAATAAAACAGCATTTATAAGCATTTTGAATTCTGTAACATGGCTTGTTATCACTGTTATCAAAATTATACACCATGATGGCAGTAACAATATATATTAATTATACATGTATATGTCACTTATAGAATGAAACTTTGTTGTGTGCTAAACTTTAAAAATCTTATTCCGAGGGTTGAGATCTTTCTATCTACATCACACCAGGGAATTTTAAAAATTTATTTTTACTCTAAACAACAATTTTGAAAAGAAGTCAAATTGTAAAATAGCCCTAGTATTACTGGCACATAAAATCAACAACAACGATGATTTTACCCCAGTGGAACATTGTAATACTGTATAAAGAACAACAACAACGATGATTTTACCCCAGTGGAACATTGTAATACTGTATAAAGAACAACAACATAGATGATTTTACCCCATTGGAACATTGTAATGCTGTATAAAGAACAACATAGATGATTTTACCCCATTGGAACATTGTAATACTGTATAAAGAACAACATAGATGATTTTACCCCATTGGAACATTGTAATACTGTATAAAGAACAACAACATAGATGATTTTACCCCATTGGAACATTGTAATACTGTATAAAGAACAACAACATAGATGATTTTACCCCATTGGAACATTGTAATGCTGTATATAGAGGTATTAATTAATTACATGATCCTAGTGGAAAAGATGATGATGACAGAATGTTGCCATGACGTGTGAGCTGTCTTTCCAAATAAAAAAAAATATTGATTTAATTCTTCCTTGACAAAAACATGTATCAACAAGTGACATGTACCAGATAAGTGTGGAGTAAAGTTCTACACAGCATTTTTCTTTCTGTAGTAAGTGTAATGATATAGATCTGCTCTTACGACTTTTCTGTTTTTTATTTTATAATACGCAATTCCATCTCCTGGAAACTTAAAACAGAATTTAAAAGGCTGTCATTACAACTCAACAGATCAATAATGGGATGTTTTTCATACTGTTTAACTTCTAAATAAAGACTCTAATATGCCTTCATATGACATCAAAGGAATCAAATTGATTTTCTGTAAATAAAGCTAACCAATGTCTAAATATAACACAATATACAGTCTATTGATGTTAAAACATGTTACACACTGATGATGGAAGTCATTATTTCTCCAGTCTCATTTTGTTGTTTTTTAATCAATCCCCACTTATTCCTTCTGCACACATAAAAGTAACAGCAGGAAACTATTATAACTGTAAATAAATATCGGCAAAACTGAGTCGTTGTAGTCCTGTTCAATGGGAAACAACTCTTATACTTTCTAAAACTTAAATTTACTGTGACTTTAACATGATCAAGCTTGAATAACAAAATAATATTAGTTTATCAGAAACGAAAATGTTTTCATATAATGTATTAATAAAATATTATTAACTGTTTACAATGTTTTCATATTACAATCCATTACAGTACCATGTCTGTATTTGTAAAATGTTTCTTTATTCAAAATATCATGTTTCTCTATACAATGTGTCTATATAAATGTTTCTGTATACAAAGTATCTGTATAAATGTACCTATATAAAATGTATCTGTATATATCTGTATACAATATATCTATACATAACGCAGCTGTATACAATGTATTTAAATACAAAGTAACTATACACAATAAATCTGTATGCAAGATGTCCCAGCAGGGTCTTGGCACCTACTGTTGGCATGTCTTTATTTGTTCTTTAAAAGATCTTTTCCCTTCTTTTCAATTCTTTCCTCTATTTTTGCACTTAATTTTATGAAATAAGCAATTGCCTCTTATATATGAATAATGATAATAAACTTTCATTGTCAAAATCCAAGATGGCCACCTTTCAGCTATGTTTTGTTATCCTTTGTTATCCTCAAAATCAAAAGGGCATAAATAGAAACCAATGGGAAACAACATACAAAAATCCAGTACTTGTTAACAAATAGTGGTAACAAACTTTCATTTTCAAAATAAAAGATGTTAGTCATTCTGGACAAGACTATGGACTCCGTAGGAAATGTGTGTCCACATGAATACTTCTATGCATTTGTGTTCTTTAATTCTCTAAACTTTTCCTTTTAGGATGAGACATAGAATTTGATTTTATGATACTATTGACCATGGAAAATCTGAGTCTGTTGAGATGTTCTGAAGACCTGACATTGGTTTTCAATAGGATGTGTACAGCAGGATACAATGGTACACACATGGGTATGCAGTGATAGTTTTAACCTGTTTAAACTTGGTTTTTTCTCTTTAATTATTTTTTACAAGTGGTTCTTGTTTTTCTTTATTACCAGCTGAATGCTGTTTCTGTATGTGACACACAAATTTTCCCCTCCGATGCCCTCTGTTTGGTTTACCTCATTTCTTCCTAATTTTCTTACTGCAATCCTTCTTGATAAAATTGCTGTTTAACTGAACATTAGTTTATTCTCATCCTTTTTTCGGATTCTTTATATTAGTGAAGAAATCCTTCTTGTCCACAGAAGATGTTGATGACACTATAGTAATGGTCCAGCTTTCTGATTTGTCCTCTCATATTTCCAAAATCTGATGATTTTTTCACCCTTTACTGGTATTCCCTATTGTATGTGTTCAGCATTCTTTTGAATTTAATTTTGTCAGTTTTCTTCCTATCAAAACCATTTTCATTATTGAGATCTTTGATTCCAAACAAAACAATGTTGTTTACCCTTTCATTTCATTATTTCAGCAATGACATTAATATCCAATGGCTGCTGTTGTTAAATGTAATACCAGCCTCTCCCTGTTATTTTGCTAATGCTCTTTTCTGCATTTAAACCTGCATTATGTTTTGAACTTGAAGCTCAGAACATTTTGTATCAATCAAACCATCCAATTGTTTTATATTTTTCTCCCTACTTTCTAAAACTTTCAGCACCTGTCTGTCCTATCTCCACCTCAATACTACAGAGTGTATAAAACCACATGGTGGTGGTTAATTCTGTGAGTATATTGTAACTTTTGATGAATTTATTAGGACATTATTTACAGTAGTTGTCACGGCACTTTCTGTATCTCAGCGTGGTCCTGTTCTGTTCTGGAATTCTTCAGCAAATTTTAAATGCAACTCCCTCCCATGGTAAGGTAATGGTAGTCTCTAAAGCTGATGTTTTATCTTACTTTCTCCAGGATATTGTCTGATGTATTAATGGCATCAGTCAGAGCTTGTTTTGCAGGTGAAAGCGGGCACTTTCCTCATACAAAAGTTTTTCTATTTCCCAAAATGATGAAAAAATCAAGAACGCCTTCCAATTCTGAACAGTACGATTTTTTCCCCAATTCATACAAGCAAAGACCATTGTAAAATTCAGGTAGAAACACCAGACATGCCCAACACTATACACCCAAATAAATAACAGGTATAACAAACAAGACCTTAACTCTAGATTAATTACCTAAGATAATATGAATTGGCCAACTTACCTCCAACAGGAATGGCAGCACCGGGATAAAAGTCATGGTAGCTTGGGAAAGAGTCGTCATCAGTCGTACACAATGAAATCGCAACGGATAAAACCGAGAGTTTGGAAGGAGTCTGAAATACAAACATTATATATTATACGAGGTGTTACATATAATGGTACATGTAATAAAATCAACATTAACTTAAATATTTCCGTAATTTGAATATTGAATCCCTCCTTATGAGTATTCAAGTTGAAAGCCTTTTTTTTGTAGAAGGTAAGATATATATTCTTAGAGTAGTAAAAACTAACAGCTACTTACTTAATGGTGCCTATGATGGTCTGTGTAAGGGGATATATGAGGGGCTCCAGGACAGGGTTTGGGTGTGTCGCACTTAAAAGTCGCACCCATAGTCCCAGACTATGCACAAACTGCCAGTTGTAAACTGCCTGACAGCTCTCCTACAACAGACAACGGATATAGGAACAAAAAATTGATGGTATAACATATCACAAGTACACCTGTCAAATTTTCTGATTTTCCATGATGGATTGCAATGTTCAAATGTATTGAACAAGAGATCCCAGAGGGATCTTGGCGCCCACCATTTGAGGATCCGTTTTCAGTTCTTGAAGATTTGTTTATTTTTTTTTGTGTGTTAAAGGTGTTGTAAATGTTCATGAACTGGTCTTCATTGAATGTACTCAATGATGGCACAAGATATTTTTATTAAGCACCTATTAGCAAATATCATTTGAAAAAGATCCCAAAGTATTATTAGATAGCAGTCAGTTACAGGTGGATAATGGACAATATGCTTGTGCTGTATTATTGTCGACATCCAAGGTGGCTGCCTGTGGGCCACCTTGATTTCAAATCAGTCCAAAAAAGGTACAATGCACAACTAGGGACCAAGGGAAACCAATATCTATGAAATATCAGGAGGATCCATCCAGTACATCCTCAGATATAGCAGTAACAAGATTTTACTCTCAAAATCCAAGATGGCTGCCTGTCAGCCATCTTGATTTCGGATCAGTCCAAAAAGGTACAATGCACAACTTGGAACCAAAGGAAACCTGCATATGAAATTTGAGAAAGATCCATCCAGTACTTTCCAAGAAAAAGCAGTAACAAACTTTTACATTCAAAATCCAAGATGGCCACCTCTCTGCCATCTTGAATTCGAATCAGTCCAAAAAAGGTACATTGCACAACTAGGGACCAAGGGGAACCTGCATATGAAATTTGAGAAAGATCCATCCAGTACTTTTCCAGAAATAGCGGTAACAAACTTTTACATCCAAAATCCAAGATGGCCACCTGTCGGCCATCTTGAATTCGAATCAGTCCAAAAAAGGTACAATGCACAACTAGGGAATAAAGGGAATCTGCATATGAAGTTTGAGAAAGATCCATCCAGTACTTTCCAAGAAATAGCGGTAACAAACTTTTACTTCCAAAATCCAAGATGGCCACCTGTCGGCCAAAAAAGGTACAATGCACAACTAGGGACCAAGCAGAAACTGCATATGAAATTTGAGAAAGATCCATCCAGAACTTTCCAAGAAATAGCAGTAACAAACTATTACATCCAAAATCCAAGATGGCCACCTGTCGGCCATCTTGAATTGGAATCAGTCCAAAAAAGGTACAATGCACAACTAGGGACTAAGGGGAAGCTGTATATGAAATTTGAGAAAGATCCATCCAGTACTTTCCAAGAAATAGCGGTAACAAACTTTTACTTCCAAAATACAAGATGGCTGCCTGTCGGCCATCTTGAATGCGAATCAGTTCAAAAAAGGTACAATGCACAACTAGGGTCCAAGGGGAACCTGCATATGAAATTTGAGAAAGATCCATCCAATACTTTTCCAGAAATAGCGGTAACAAGAATTGTTTATGGACGGACGGACCAAGGACGCAGGGCGATTTGAATAACCCACCATCTATTTGAATAGATGGTGGGCTAATAAATCTGATCTTGACCTTTTGAAATTACTCAGAACTTAGTGATTATATTTCTAGTTTGATACATCGAAGATATTCAATGATGACTGAAACAGTAAAGAACAACGTATACATTGTTATACACTGACAATATAATGAACATTGTATTAATGTTATACATTGATGATATACTGTACAGTGTATAGAACAGTGTATACATTGTTATACACTGACAATATAATGAACATTGTATTAATGTTATACATTGATGATATACTGAACAGTGTATGGAACATTGTATACATTGTTAAACATTGACAATATAATGAACATTGTATTAATGTTATACATTGATGATATACTGTACAGTGTATAGAACAGTGTATACATTGTTATACACTGACAATATAATGAACATTGTATTAATGTTATACATTGATGATATACTGTACAGTGTATAGAACAGTGTATACATTGTTATACACTGACAATATAATGAACATTGTATTAATGTTATACATTGATGATATACTAAACAGTGTATGGAACATTGTATACATTGTTAAACATTGACAATATAATGAACATTGTATTAATGTTATACATTGATGATATACTGTACAGTGTATGGAACATTGTATACATTGTTAAACATTGACAATATAATGAACATTGTATTAATGTTATACATTGATGATATACTGAACAGTGTATGGAACATTGTATACATTGTTAAACACTGACAATATAATGAACATTGTATTAATGTTATACATTGATGATATACTGAACAGTGTATGGAACAGTGTATACATTGTTATACACTGACAATATAATGAACATTGTATTAATGTTATACATTGATGATATACTGAACAGTGTATGGAACATTGTATACATTGATATTAAACACCGGTGACTGATTGAGCACCGTATCATCATTAGCACTTGTCATCTGACTGAATCACTATATATCGCACAAATTCAAAGCTATTAAACTGAAAATACAATGGTTTTTCTTCTTAAATTTTGCTACTTAAAAATAAACAAGAGATCCCAGAGGGATCTTGGCACCCACCATTTGAGGATCTGTTTTCAGTTCTTGAAGATTTGTTTATTTTTTTTGTTTGTTTGTTACAGGTGTTGTAAATGTTCATGAACTGGTCTTCATTGAATGTACTCAATGATGGCACAAGATATTCTTATTAAGCACCTATTAGCAAATATCATTTGAAAAAGATCCCAAAGCATTATTAGATAGCAGTCAGTTACAGGTGGATAATGGACAATATGCTTGTGCTGTTTTACTGTCGACATCCAAGATGGCTGCCTGTGGGCCACCTTGATTTCAAATCAGACCAAAAAAGGTACAATGCACAACTAGGGACCAAGGGAAACCAATATCTATGAAATATCAGAAGAATCCATCCAGTACTTCCTCAGATACAGCAGTAACAAGATTTTACTCTCAAAATCCAAGATGGCTGCCTGTCAGTCAAAGTTCCAAGATGGCTGCCAAAATGATGGCCACCTGTCGGCCATCTTGAATTCGAATCAGTCCAAAAAAGGTACAATGCACAACTAGGGACCAAGCGGAAACTGCATATGAAATTTGAGAAAGATCCATCCAGAACTTTCCAAGGTAACAAACTTTTACTTCCAAAATCCAAGATGCCACCTGTCGGCCATCTTGAAATTCCAAAAAAGGTACAATGCACAACTAGGGACTAAGGGGAAACTGCATATGAAATTTGAGAAAGATCCATTCAGTACTTTCTCAGAAATAGCGGTAACAAACTTTTACTTCTAAAATCCAAGATGGCCACCTGTTGGCCATCTTGAATTCGAATCAATCCAAAAAAGGTACAATGCACAACTAGGGACCAAGGGGAACCTGCATATGAAATATGAGAAAGATCCATCCAGTACTTTTCCAGAAATAGCAGTAACAAACTTTTACAACTGGTCATCACCTGTTAGGTCACCATGGACCCCTGATAGGTAATGGAAGCTATACCCTCAAATATAGAAAAGCAAGACAGAGAAAACCCATCCATTGTACATACATAAGGCTGATTAAATCTTGTGAAGAAAATCTAAACAGATATAATCAAGAAGATGAGGACTATCACTTAAATGTACCTGTTTTTTCGTTGTTATTGCATTCCTTAGATGAATAGCCAACTGTCTGATGTAAACAAAAGTGTACTGGTAGGCATGTACAATGTCTATGGCAAAAATCTCCACCATGGAGCGCTGCATAAAATTGATCATTGGCAGTGTGGAAGGGGAGGTGAATTTACAGTTCTTCACATACGCGATGTACATTTGCTGGAAGAGAAAATACACAATTCAGAAACAGGTTTACTTATCTTTGTATGATAAAGAAAGGGTGTTGGTGGGGACACTTAACAAAGAAAACGTCAGTGTATTATATAGTCATCCATATTTTATTTTCTTTTGGAATTTACAGGAATGTTATGTATTATGTTTTTAAGTATCAATAATGATAATAAATTTATCTAAAAGCAGTCAGAAGGTATAAAGAAACATTTGAGAGATTACCTTGATACAGGCATCAAGAAGTGTGGTCTGCATGATGCGTACAAGTCTGTTTATACAGAAGAATGCCATGACACGTGTTGTATCCTCCCCAGTGCTCCACAACGAGATCATTTGCTGAAATACAAGGTAAAATCATCCAAACAATTTGTAAATAAATGAATATGATTATTATTATGCTGGACAGATATGACACTAGTATACACTTCATATTAGAAATCTTCTCTTTCGCTTGATTGGTTAGGCATTAAACTGGTGAACCCGAGGTCCTGGGTTCAAACCCTGGAGTTGACATTGAAATAAAAAGATAATTTCTACCTAAAAGGACATAGGAATAATTCTTTCCTGTAAGGGGGGAGTATGTAACCTTGATAAATACTAGCCCAAGTTTACTGCTTGGCTACAAATAACATCTCTACAGCTTGATCGGCTGAAAGTACGCCTAGTGAGCCAGGGATCCTGTATTTGAAACCTAGCAGAGACAATACAGTAAATAATAGCCTCTGTGTCACACTTATAATGAAATATTATCATAATGTTATATATACTTCACTGGGCTACAACAGAAATAAATTTCACGTTGTCACATCCTATTATAAATGAGTAAACAGTATTCAATGAATCCAGTTAGACTAAAGTATCACTTCTTGATACATGAAATAGCAGGTTAAGAGTACTCATGAAATCAACAAAATCCAATACTTTAACCAACTTTCTTTTGCATGTAATAAACTTTGCCATTTTTTCAACTAAAAAGTACTAAATTTATGTATATAGTACATAGTGATGTAAGGCATTGTGTAAATCTATGGTTAAATTCAGTGTCAAGGACAATCTATTCCACTGATTGTTCCATTTGAAACATCCCAACGGAGATTTGTATCATGTTTGAATGGCTAACCTTTACACAATGCCATGCAAGCTTTTAAATAACTGTGATTGATTGAAAGTTTTATAAAAATAAAAACATGAGACATGTAACTAAATTTAATTTCAATTAAGACTGGTTCATTGTTCTGGGTATTTTACCAATATTTGTTGTTAATAAGGTTTCTGATCTAAGAACAGGTAATTACTGACCTGTGTCTCAAACAGACTGTTTGTGATATTACTAAAATCATGAAAGTTAGAAGCCACAAAAGAAAGCAGGTTGACTATATCCCATGAAAATTGATGATTTCATTATGTTCAAATCTCAAAGTTGAATGGATAAGAAACTCAGAAGTTTTAAATTCTGGCATACTTTTCCACAAATGTGTAGCATTATTGTAACATTTCAAATTAATTATATAATGGTGTATTAACAGACAAGACTTAATATCTTACCTTGAGCATGACCTTGGCTATTTTTGGAAAACAGGAATAGAAGGCGACTAGTTTGTGAATGTGCTTTAGTATCACATTAACCATTGTAGGCTCTGACAACTCACTCACCAGCTAAAAACAAAATTTGTCAAAAATTGTCAACATACCAAACAGTGTTTTTTACCATATTATTTTACAATCCAAAATATATCATTTACATAAGTTCTAAAATGTGTGTTATTTTCCCGAGCTGAACACAAAATTAAGAATGCCCATCTAATACTTATCAAAACAGAAAAAGCTTTACAATATTTTTTCCCCATTTTAAGCAGACTCTGGGTGTTGTGACATAAGATAGAAAACATAAAAAGAGTTCTGTACTATTTCTGACTCCAAGACAATAAATATGAATGATAAATATTTCCATTTTCAAGGGGAAAAAAATTGCTGTTGAGAATTAACATTTCATTCTTTTCAAAAAACTATAATGGAGACAAGAAAACAAAACTATCATAAAAAAATTCTGATAGATGGAAATGATATTTGAACTAGATAGACAACACTGATACATATATTGACAATATAAGTAACCCCAATGGCGATAAGGTAGGAGTATCTACTGTCGACAAAACTTTGAGTTAGCAGAGTTGAAGTGAATGTTTGGGTAAAAGGTGGGGCAGGACAAATGTAATACTTCCAATTAAACAGGATCTGTAAGTTTTACAAGATTGAGATAACAAGGTTTGACTGTATTTAACATAGATAAAGCTGTTTGTCCTGTGCTGTGAGAATTTCCAACTCTTTACAGTTCAACCTCTACAATTCCCTTATATGATTACCATATATAATCTATCTGGTCCATAAAAAGTGACCACTTACAACTACATCATCATATCATAATTAAACAGATATAGATAAACAAAATGTGTTGATGAAGTGATAAACAGTGTAACATAAATACCTTTAACAGGTAAGTCACATAGGTTTTGACATCTACACGTATTTTCACCCATTTCTTGTTGTTACTGGCAGGTACGATGGGTTTCTGTAGGTCAGTTATAGGAGGCAGGCCTATCACCTGATGCAGTGCTGGCGCCACCTGGGTCAGACACATCCGCACAATTGCATTGAATACTGAAAAGCATAAAGTTCAAATTTTACTAGCATTTCAAGACAGACAAGAAATACTTGTCAGACTGTTCTGTATTAATACTGAGATAGGTCAGATTGTTAACGAAAACCAGTAACACAAGGAAATCTCCATGGTTACATATATCTAGGTAATCTCCATGGCTACATATATCTAGGTAGATAAACATGGGAACTTAATACAGAGTACTGAAATATAAATAACTTATATATGTTCTTTATTAATGTAATTATTTCTCTCCACCTGCCTGTTACTTACCTGCACTGCCCTTGCCATATTTGTCTGTCTCCCTCTCCCCCTCTGCCTGTTACTTACCTGCACTACCCTTGACAACATATTTGTTTGTCTTCCTCTCTCCACCTGCCTTGTTACTTACCTGCACTACCCTTGACAACACATTTGTTTGTCTTCCTCTCTCCACCTGCCTGTTACTTACCTGCACTACCCTTGACAACATATTTGTTTGTCTTCCTCTCTCCACCTGCCTGTTACTTACCTGCACTACCCTTGAAAACACATTTGTTTGTCTTCCTCTCTCCACCTGCCTGTTACTTACCTGCACTACCCTTGACAACATATTTGTTTGTCTTCCCCTCTCCACCTGCCTGTTACTTACCTGCACTGCCCTTGACATATTTGTCTGTCTCCTTCTCCCCCTCTGCCTGTTACTTACCTGCACTACCCTTGACAACATATTTGTTTGACTTCCCCTCTCCACCTGCCTGTTACTTACCTGCACTGCCCTTGACATATTTGTCTGTCTCCCTCTCCCCCTCTGCCTGTTACTTACCTGCACTACCCTTGACAACATATTTGTTTGTCTTCCTCTCTCCACCTGTCTGTTACTTACCTGCACTGCCCTTGACAACATATTTGTTTGTCTTCCCCTCTCCACCTGCCTGTTACTTACCTGCACTATCCTTGACAACATATTTGTTTGTCTTCCTCTCTCCACCTGTCTGTTACTTACCTGCACTACCCTTGACAACATATTTGTTTGTCTTCCCCTCTCCACCTGCCTGGAGAACTGCAGCCTTGAGTGCAGCAATGACTTCTTTCAGTACTGCCATGGTAGGTTTTGTCTGTTAAAGATTAAGAGTATTTATTAATGTTAATATCATTCTAGTTTTAACTTGATATGTATGCATAAAATAACACATCTTGGTTGATACCTCAAAGAGTTTTGGGGTCATGCTCCAAAAAAACCCCAAAATGTCTCCCCTAAATACTCCAAATTAGGCCCTACTTCTCTGTTCTCTGGGTAGCCACACTTTCTTCATTTCCAATAATGATCACAGAGAAACCAAACACACTCTATTGCCAATTCTAGACCCTATTTCTTTATCTGCAGAAAAATGCAACATCTCTTTATCAGGCATAAAACTTAGCCAATTACCTCTAGACTTTTGGACCAGTTCTTTATCAACCTAGGTGTCAGCAATGTTCCCTTTTGTTTCTTTTTTGTTAAGACTGTATTCGTGTTTTCCTTTTCATCTTTATCTTCTTCATCACCATCTGTTTCCTCTTCACTGTCGTCACTGGCAACCTATAGGACAAGAAGGGAAGCAATTTTAACAAAATTCTTTTTGAAATTCTTGGGATTGAAATGAGTTCATATATTTCCTGAAATACACAGAAGCAGGTTTTATTTGGCTAAATAATATACATTGTTAACTGATAAAAGATTCAAACATACAAGTATAAAAGCCATGAAATCTAATATATCATAAAAAAAACCTGCACATTACAAGGGTTTTTACAGTATAGTGTAAGTTCAGTGGAATTGAGTTGAATAGTTTCGAAGTTGTTGCCTGCAAAAGGAAAGTTATATTAATTTTGCGGTTTTTGAATATGTTTCCATAGTAACCGAAAAAATATAAAAACTGAAATGTCATCAATATCAAAAGGCACACCTACGGCACAGACCTAGTATATACAGAAAGCTTTGTTGAGTTGAGTTAAAGCCCTGAAAGGCCCTCAGATGTACAGATACAATGAGCCCAAATTAATATACCCTGCAAACATGTTTCCCTGGGGATAAAAAGCAAAACACTATCTTTGCAGTATAATATTGATAACATGGGGATACTACTAGCCAGCACAAATCAATTCTGTGATAAATGGTTCTACAATACCTGTGTAATGAAATCTAGATGGAATTATGATGTTGTTAAGATTAAGTTACATTTTGAATTTACTGAATTCAATTCTACATTTTCTTTGACAAAATGAAAAATACTTGAAGAAACGTTTGCAAATTATGTACCTCCAGTTTTTTGGGAAGTTTATGAAAACGTCCCTTCCCTGAATCTTCATCACTCGAATCCTCCTCATCCTCATCTGTACTGTAATCATCAAGGTCTTCTAAATCAAGCTTGAATTTTGATTTTTTTCCGGATGCCTTTTCTTTAACATCTTCTTTGAATGAACCTAAAATGTGCGAAGTCAAACATGAATTGATTGCCATACTTTGAAATCCATCATGAAATCCAAATCAGTTTATATTATAAGCTCATTTACAAAAGGGTTGGTTGGTTTCTTGTCTTTATCGGACCTTAAATGAACTGAGTTGTTCTGAGGTAGACTTCCCTTGTAGTAACTAGTAACTACCTCAATTAACAACATACAGGAGGCCTGTTACATGCTATCAAGTACATCTGAAATAAAGCACCTTGACCAAGGACACAACTACACCAGCACAGACTAGTCCGTTTCTCAGCTTCCCGAGAGACATAAAACACCATGGGTAAGGAGCATTGAACCACCCACCTCAGATCTTCACCTGAAGTTACGTAAGACAAATGGAAATGTAGATAGAATTATATTGTCAGGTAATAAGCCCGCCTTTACTTCTTCATTTTCCCTCTGTGCTGTATAAATTAAGTAACTTATCTCTCAGAAATACTCTAGCACAAACAGAAGGCTGAAATAGTACATCAAATTGTGGACATTCATCTATTCAGGTACTTTATCATAAAGTTAATTTATTCTATAACAAATTTTTTGCTATGAAAGGAAAACTGGAGAAACTGGGCAAAAAATGACTGAAATTATGCACACTTTTAGGTGACTTATATAACCTTATATCCCATGCAAAATATTAGATTGAGTAATTACTCTAAACAAGATGTTTATCCAAGAACAGGCCAAGGGAGCCAGCAGGTGATTGCTTACTCAAAATAAAGAGGGAGGGCACTTATAACAGGACAAAGAAACAGCACTGGTTTATAATTGTAAGGTCCAGCTATAAACTGTATCAGAGGGGGTATTACCAGGTATTAACTTATTGCTGAATATATATGATTTTTGTTTTATGAATGTTACTTTTATCTGCCTCGTCACTGTCCTCATCTTCATCACTCTCCTCCTCTTCATTTTCATCATCCTCTTCATCATCATCACCAAAATCTAGGAGTGATTTATCTTCATTCTCTAAAAACTTGTAAAACTCTGGGTCCAGCTTTTCAAGATTTTCTAAAGATTTCTTGTGTTTAGATGCAGCTTTCTTGTCAGGTTTTTTACTGAAAATATATGTTTATTTTCGGTCCCAGTAATAAGTGATACTGAATAAGCGTTCAAATACTTGTATGTAGCAATGTGTAAGTATAGCTATTTTACCTCACACATTTTGTAGTAAAAGTATAAATAATTTCAAAAATGTTTACACTCATTATTCATGGCCTTAGGCTTTATACAGTATTTCTTCTGAAAGATTTAACATTCAGCTTATAAATAAAAAATTATATAAATCTCTACATTAAGTTACTCAGGGGGAATAACTCAATCTGTTTATTATTTATTATCTGAGGCAAGAAACTCTCCTGAACTTGCCATAGTCAAAATAAGATTTAATTTGAACTCGTTGCCAAATAGTTTAAAATATCATAACTTTAATATAAATCAAATAAATTATTCCTCCTAACTATATGTCAGCAAAGTTGTTTAGGTTTCAGAGGTATAATTCTAAAAATGACTCCCCCACCCCCCACCCTCCTCTCCCTCTCTTTATTTATTTTTTGCAAATATATCTAATATATGATTTTGCTATAGAGTGACATCTTTTCACACTACACCAACCTCTTCGCTGTTTTTTTCTTTTTGGAGATTTCTGGTTCGGAGCTACCATCACTACTGTCTGAATCAATTGCACTTTTCATGAACTCATCAACGCTCATATCTTTCAATTTTCTGAAATGTAAAAATGAATATACAATTTGATTGATTGAAATATAAAGTATTACTCTCTAAGGAATAAAAATAGAAATAAATAGATCATTTTCAACGTCATGAAATTTTATTGTCATACAACAAGAGGATTGAACAGCAGGCAAAGCTTATAGAAGTCCTGTCTTCCTTTATCAGTATGAAAATTTATAAGTTAAAAATACAAATACTTACTTAATGGCATGAAATTACTCAATCAAAGTACTGAAAGTACTGGTATGCTAAGACCATTAAAAAAATAAATTCTTAGTTATTAGCTTGCTATATACTGAAACCAACTATATGCAAGCAGTAAATCATTGCAGCCCATAAAAAATGACCAGCAGATATCAGAAATAACAAGCAGAGTAGTATTACTTATGTAATACATGTCCCAAGTAGGTTCCAAGATGCAATGATAGGGAAGTTGTCCATTTCTTTGGATACATTATAGGAAATGTTGATCTTGGACACCATATTATCACTTTAAAGACTGCGTATCTCATTGGTGTAAGACCATTAGTTAGACCATCATGCAAATAACATGCTACATACAAATATTGGGCAGCTTCATTTTCCAGATTGTCTGTAAATGACTGCATAAGAGTGCCAATTTTCTAAAACAAACATGGTATGTCACCATAACTTAAAATAAAAGATGCCTATTCTTTTGGAACACCTGGTCTTATTCTCCTTGTACTTTTTCAGGGAATCTTCGAGTAGATATTGTCTTTGTTTCAATTTTACACTTGTTTTGCTGGTTCTACAATTCTGTTGACATGTTATATATTCTTTGTTCTCTAATACTTGTCGCATGATATTTTATTCCTCTTGTATTATCATTTTTTAACATCCTAACAGTGACCTTGAACCTTGAAATTTGCAAGATGTGAATATCTTTTAGGTTGTGAAATTTGATAGAAAAATGAGGGTAATGCAAAGAACACCCCCATGCATCTATCCGTTTTTTGACTGTGACCTTGATCTTTGACATCTGACCCTGAATTTCTAAAGAAACCGACTTCTCATAAGGGATACATGTTCCAAATTTGATTAAGGTATACTGTCTTAGTCTCAATGCGTTTACAAGGTAATCATATAGTACTTATGCAAGTACTGTGACCTCTACATTCAATCCTCAAAATCATTACTATATCCTCTCCACATTGCCCAGGGATAACTGAAACTGTAATCCAAATGATAACTAATACCCCCAACACCCACAGCCTTAGTTATCTCTCCATGGTGACCTTTTGCACAGAAACATCCTCTGAAACACAGCGGCATGTGCACGTTCCCCAACATTCCTGCAAAGTTTTGTTGAAATTGGTCCACAGGTTTAGAAGTTGACCGACGAGCAAAACCCGTCTATATTGACCAGTTGCCATGGCAATCAATATTTTGAGGGAAAATGGTGCATGCACATCTACACATTGTCCTGAATATTACTGAAAAGTTTCATTGGAGTTGTCCAGACAAGATGTGTCTTCAGACAGACAAACAGATGGATGGACTGATAGACAACCTGATTCCAGTTTACCCACCCTTTTGGTGGTATAAGAATGCACAAGAGTGCTTACAAATTCCATGTGGACAGACATTATGGAAAAATAATAATAATAATAATAAAAACATGATACAGATGCTTATATCTTGTTTTATTCAGTTTTTAGATACAGTATTCTTTCCATGCTTTGATCAGCAATGTAATCTTGTCATGTCAATATCCTAGTACAAGATTGCATACACAAAATTGTTGTAGGTAGACTTTTAAGATACATAAAAAATACATGCCTAAGTTTAAATGAAGGTTTTAAACAGAAGTCGTATTATGTTCAGTATACAGTGATTTTTCTAGACAATTGTAAACTATAAACTCGGTATGCAGCGATCTTTTCTACACATTTGTAAACAACAAACTCAGGTATGCAGTGATCTTTTCTACAAAAAGTTTTTTTGATATATTATATACACTAAACTCAGAAAAAAAAAAAATAAGTAAACCTCTCTATGTACACTACAAACTCAGTATACAGTGATCCTTTCTACACAAACTTGGTATAACTAGTGAATCTTTCTACACAAGTAAATTGAAGATTGTATACAAATTTACTACAAATGCAGTATACAAAGATCTTTTCCACATTATTTTAGTTTCTGCGATTTGTTGATTCTTCTTTTCTGATGGTAAACACAAGTAAATTGAAGATTGTATACAAATTTACTACAAATGCAGTATACAAAGATCTTTTCCAAATTATTTTAGTTTCTGTGATTTGTTAATTCTTCTTTTCTGATGGTAAATATATTGCTGCCTTTAGAGAGTACTGTGACCTTAAAAGGCAACATGGTTGTTAGCATCTCCTCAAGTGATTAATCATATTCAACATCTAATTGGAGGCCGAAAAGAAGGACGTTTTTCTCCACCATAAGGTCCTCACATCCATTGTTGGTCACCATGGCCAATTCCAACTTAGAAGAATCAATAGAGATACCTTCTACCATTCCAGATTTCATTTCTTCAGGGACATCCACTTGCTGAAAGAGAGTAAGGGAAATAAATAACTATATTTCATTATTGCTATGATTATGTGCAAGAAATATACACTTCTGTATAAGCTTATAGTCTTCCCATTAGGAGCCTATATTAAATATACTGTAATTAATTACTTTGACGTTCAGGACTGTAAAATTATTAAGCGATGGACAGCTGGCAAAATGATAATATCTTGACCATGGTCATACAGAGATTGAATCATAAAATTTAATTTGTGTGATAAATCTGTGCAGTATGATAATTTATTTTGACGTTTGTATTTAAAAAAAAATCATTTTGACTTGAAAAGTAATGTGTAATTTAATTAATTACATTGGACCGTCATGTAATGGTTATTTAATTATTTTGAAAATACCTGTAATGGCAATGCCATTTTCATAATGTAATTGTAATTTAATTAATTACATCATCATGTAATTGAACCCATGCCTGTTACAAACAGTGGCTGTCCTAACTGATCTTAAAATTAACTTTGGCTACATCTATCACAAAATTAACTTTGGCTATGTCTATCACAAATGCCACATTTAGCTACAGTAGAGGTATTTCAAAAATGTACGTAATTGTAGCTGAAAGGACATAATTAATGGTTACTTAACCAGAACTACAGTTCTGAACAAACCACTACAAAGCATCTTATTGTTGTACTTCTGGTCACTTGAGTTTCTTAAAGTTTCAATTTGACTTTTAATAAGGCCCAATGTGATAATACTGCAATGTCTTAATAAGCTCTCGAGGGGTATTGGTTAGACTATTTATCCCATTTCATTCCACTCACCATGGAAACAAAACTCTAAAATGCTTATAAACAGTCGACAATTAATGACAAATATTGAGCCCAGGGCTGTGTAAATTTGATGAATCAAGTGTTGAACTGAAAGTTGACGCAGTTGACATAATACCGAAACTTCTGAGATGAACAAATACAGTACATATATTAAAAGTTCAGGCATAATAAGAATTGTACCAATGGGACCTAACACTTTGCTAGGTTTATCCTAATCTTCATTAAAACACTTTCCGGGATTCAGATGTTAATTGATATCTTAATTATTCCCAATCTTCATATTGTAATCGTTCACCTGCATCACTCTTCAACAGAATCAACGAGACATCATGTCAGAAAGACAAAAACTAAATTTAAGCTAAAACTATATATATAAACTTCAATTGGCATAGCTGTAGAGTTCCCTTACGATTTCATACCCTGGACTTGGGGTACTTATAAATTATCTCCGATCAGAAATTTGAAAGAGCTAGATCTACAATAGCACGGACAGTGACCGATATTTTAAAGTAAAATCGATATATTACACCACGGACTTGTATATAAGTCCGTGATTACACAGATAGATTCCTAGATCTATTCACGGTAACGTAAGTAGTACAGTACAATATTACGGATAGGTTTTTTTCTGTTTAATTTCCGATCTGTTGGGCCACTCACGATCATTCAAAAATAAATTTATTTCAAAACACTGAAATACTTTACGGAAGCAACAAAAATGTGCTAGATGCTTACATAACATTTTTCAAATGCATACTGCTTCAAAGGAAAAGTCTTGAAAATATTTTGAAAAAAGTGCCATGGCGGCAGTGCCCAGCTTGCGCGTCGCCGTCGAGCCTAAATCCAATACATGCGATAGCTCATTTCAAATGAGTATTTTGCAAAAAATGCAATTGCTTCTTCAGTATAAGTATTGACTTTAAATTCAGCTTATATATATATAGTGATACTAACTTACATCAAATACCCGCCATCTTCTTTCTGCCTCCGTCTTCTTTCAGGGTCCAGCAGCAAAGAGCACCCCCCGGCTGTTTCCGTCAAAATTTTATGCTACTCTAAATCATTCTTATTTTAGTTTCATTCTTATTTTCAACTACATATTTCAGTATTTTTAAAAGCTTTCAACAGTATTAAACGGGATGAAAATTTTCAAAAAAGAAAAAAAAAAGAAAGATATATATGACACCCACAATGCATCGCGCGGAAAAGAAAGTTAAGCCGCCATATTGGCATCGCCTCGCAAAATTTACCACCATAAAACGTGAGTCTTCGTCACTGTATTTACAAATTTCGATGTCTGATTATCATTAATACACAACACAAAACGTTTTCTTGATGTACAAGTAACGAAGAAAATGTCGATAAGGTTGTTTCATTTAATGACTAGGATCAGCAACTTGTAGGGGCGATAATCCAATGATTACGGTAATGTCCGGCAGATGGAGTAGGAGTAAACTTTCGATTTATGAACCAATGAAAACGAAGTACTGATACTCAGGGCCGGGGGCGACAGCAACATGCTGAAGAGCATTGAAAATGCTCTTAGCATAAAAAGCATTAAGAAACAGCTATAACAGATTATCATAGTCAATTTTTTTCATTTTGTCCTGAAACAGGTCATGTACAACTAGGAACTAAAGGGAACCTACATCTATCTACCTATGAAGTTTCATGTTGAAACCTTTCAGTTTTTGTGTTATGCTCTGGACAAACCTAAGACCAATGAACAAACGAACAAAGTGTCTACTATATGCTCTTAGAGGGAAAGCATAAAAACACACAAACTAAGGCCTATGTCCAGTATAGATCAAAGATTCATGGACTGATTCGCAGTCAGATTCAGGTCTTCTACCCAGGCTTGTAGCATATGGAACCCTGTTAGGTAGGGCAATGGGGATGAAAAGTTCTTAATAATTTTATACAAAACTGTTTATATTCAACACTGGTTATAAGGTCCAAAAGTAAACATAACACTGATACCTGCAATCTGGAAATCTAGAATCTCACATAATTACAGTCAAAACACAATCATACATTAACATAACACACAAACATACAAACCAACTAAATGCCATACAAGACCCCCCCCCCCCCCTCCCATCCACTCTCCACTCTCACCATCATCCCTAATCCATCTCAAATCCTATATAAATAGTACATCTACTCAAACCGTGGGTTGTATATAATAGTATATAGGTTGGATTAGACAACTGAATTTCTCTCTATCTATACTCAAGATGTATCAAGTTAGAATTAACACATAACTCCTGCTTAACACATCACCTAAAACATTATCCACCATCCTAACGGTGTATATACAAGGAATCTGTCTCTTTTCAAAAACTTGAATCTTAAATAATCTCACCCAATCATAACACTTTCTACTTCAAAACAGAAACCTCTCATAACCCTTCTAAATCCTCACATTTACACAAATCATGCATATAATTATAAAAATAATCAGGTTGTGAACAAATGTGTGCAGAAGGAATGGAGTGGAATCAGAGAAAGCAACAGACATTGGTAAATTGATAAAGTAGCTTAGTCAATATGATTGGAAATGGTTCAAGATGGGACAACACAAACAAGTGTACTAGAATTACACCTGCACCAATTTAACCACTAACCAAAGTCCTGTGGATGGGACATTAAATGGTGGCCTGTGTGAGGATTGTCCAATCTTGCATGCTAAATATCCCTCTGGCTTTTTGAAAAAGAGTGGGTGTGATAATGCCGGGATGGGGTCCAGGGATAGTGTCAGAACTGTACAATTATTTTGAAGGCATTAGACAGATTTCAAAATTAATCTAACACAAACAAAATCTAGATAAGCCTCCAACACTTTCTTTCTGCTTCTGGACATGTTTAACTGCTAGAGTTGGGATCAGGCATTATTTGACACTGGAGCTGTCTACAAAAACTAGTGTAATCAAACTATCACAGCTACAATCTGTTCCATCCAACTGAGGGGGATGCAAGTCACCCCCTCCTGTTGCCAGAACACTGAAGTTTAGCAGTTAGACAATCCTCAGACACAGGAGGAGTCACAGAGACAGAAAATCTGTCAATCAATCAATCAATCAAATAGGCAACACTAACCCATTCCTTTTACACTATAATGTACTCCTCTTGTTTTTGAGATTTCCGAAATCTCAATCTGGGGTTAAAAGAACACAACCTGTGAAATTTTCAGTTTTGTTGGGAATCATTGTGAAAGAACAGAGAAAACACATTCCAAGTCTCAGCTGTGATAACCCATGGCTATACACACCGAAAATGAAAGGAAGAAGCATGCTGTGTCAGCTGAGTGACAGAGGTCGTATTTAACATGGCGCACAAGCTGCGCTAGTTTATCATTAGTCAATTTGCAACTAACGTAGACAAGTGCATAGTGCAAATAATGTCACCAGCTTGATTACAATTTTTAGTGTATCAACAGCTGATCAACTGGATCACTCATCAAATGTCTCTCGTTCTGGATCGATAATATGATCAGCGGATTGTATTAAATATCATGGTTCAATAATATCGGAATTATTATCTTGATTTTTTCCGTCTGCACTGTTAATGTATCATTTCATGATGAAAATACTGGAAAGCAATGCTAAACGAGATGTCAACAAGTCCATGTGACTTGTTTGTCGTTCATGATCGATTTCGCAAACAAATATAGTCATGTTGTGGCATTGGCAAACAGTGTCTATCATGAATAAAAATTATTTTCAATGTGTTATGTGGATAAATATTGTCGTTTAAAACGTCAGTGTTTTCCTTAACAGTCCACTACCTTTTCTTTGGTGCCATGCTTTTCGCCATGTGCGCTGCCATTGCTGGTGATGACGAAACATATTTTCTTCAATATCATTGGTTGAACGGAATCGTACGGAAATCACTCGGGTATTTCCGGCATGTGGCAATTAGCCAAGCTAGTAGCAGACGGCAAAAGTACTGAATATACGAGAAGAGACTTATACACCGAAAACAGTAAACATGGAGGACTCAGGTAAGTCTCACTATTTCTTTATTTCGAAACTTAGAAAAAAAACCTTAAAACTATGTACAATCGCACGAGCATTGGCAGGTCGAACACGTGCACGCGTGCACGTTTTTTCTCATTCCAAAGTACTTACAGAGAAGTCTGCAGTTACTAGCAGGGTCATGTTTACAGTGGTTGGAAGATGTTGTAAGTGATGATTTATAGCTTATAATTCGGTACCTACAAGACCCTGACGCCTGGGTACGCAAAACATTAGACCTAAATTGAGTACATAACTAAATCATATTTTGGTTTTAGATGAAATTCACCGTCAATTTGATATCTACACTACCGATGATGTAAAAGAACTACTGGAAACTGAAATCCTAGATTTTGTGTGTAGAGAGTAATTTAATGTTGAAATTTATTGTCTTTTTGATTTTCTTAATACATATAAAAATTAAGAGCTTTTGGTGACTTAAGTCATCGTGTGAAGGTATACACTCCTTTTCCTTTCATACAAAAAAATGGTTACAAAGCAGATGTATTTCCACTGGTGTTAAGAGTGAATAGAGCTTGTATCATAATACTTAAATTGTTTGCTGCTAAGTGAACGATAACTTGAAAACACTGAAAGGATCCAACTTCCAACACTAAACAATGCTTTTACGACAGTCCAGATTTTCAAAACAGGACTGTGATTTGTGATATGAATTCATATACTTTTTATGAAGATATAACTGAGATTTTGACATGAACCATGTTGAAGAGCAGCCAATAGGCTTGGCACCCATCTTGGAAAACTTTTACACTTCTTGATACTGTTGACATTAAAGCTAGTTGTACATGAAAGGATTTTTGGAAATCCACAGAAGGAAATATTTCCTGGTGCTTAAATTTCTTAAACAATTAACTGTATTGGTCAAAAAGCATGAGAACCCAGACAAAATATATACATAAAACAACAAGAAAGATCTCATTTGACCTATATTCATGATCACAGAGGTCATATTGATTGAAAAAAAATATACTATCATGTTTTGGATTGGACAAACTTATGATTTGCAAGAAAGAAATGACCCTGACCCCATTATCAAGGTTACAGAGGACAGCTATTAAATATTAAAAATAGCCAGGATAGCTTACTGGCACAAGGTGTTGTAGAGATTCTGATGTAAACTGATCTTGACTAACGATTCATGGTAACTGGGGAAAAGATCTTTTAAATGGTAAATGAATTCTGATTTAAAATCTATAGCCAGCAATATAAAATTATTTACAGTCATATGTCAAACATTCATTTTCTGTTACTTGTTTGTTTATATATGTGACAGAGGTCATTTTTCATCTCAATTCCTCCGCTAGGAATCGGACCCGGGACCCCTGGCTTACTAGTCTGACGCTCAACCAATCGAGCTTAAGAGAAGTTCTCTCTAGCCGAGTGGTATATTGCGGCTAGTATTTTTACCAGGGTTACATATATAACTCCAGCAAATTTTTGTAGCATGTAGTGAATGTAAATGATATTCATGGATACACCACTGAATATTCCATTGTGTAATGAAGAAAATTTCACTATATAGTATCAAATAGCAGATATGCTTGATCAAACAATTTATGGGATTATGGGATTTGCACTGGTTTCAGAATCAGATATCGCAAAGAAGGCAATTCACTTGTTAAGTTCTGTGGTTTAATCTTAGTTTTTTTTGTTTGTTAGCTCTAATTTGTAGAGTATATTTAATGCAAGTGTTACAGGGGTTCACGTCATTGACAGAACAAAGCAGGAATTCATGTCTTTATGTTTATTTGCTGTTAAAACCACATAACAACAAAAACCCTGCAAGCAAAACAAATACAACACATGAGTCTCACACGCAAACAATCGAACTTCACACACTTGCATACCTACTACATCCAAGGGAAATAACTCTACACTAATGCTATAATATAACAATAGTAAAATACCTGCTTTTATAATCAGACTATGAGAAAAGCCAATATAGCATTTTATATATATCTTTCAAATGAATATATGAATTCATAGATAACACTACTTGTACATTATTATGTTCCTTAGCCATATAGATATAAATATAATTTCTTGCACACCGACATTCTAGTTAACACAACTTGCACTAATGTACATTCAAATAGAGCAGCTAATATTGTAAGAAACCTCCTTTAATCTTTCTATACAATAACATTTCAATAACATGCCATGGCCATGTACCTCGGAGCCCTTTCCCAAAAACAAAATCATAATCAAAGAAAGTAGATTTTCATACAGATACATACATGCAGGCATAAAGTTCATGTAGACATCGATTGATGTGTCGGAGTAACCCAATATATAAAATCACTGTAACAGACACAGATAAAGAAATCTATCTTGGAATTAATCAAGGTCAAAATGATGGTAATGAAAATAACAGACTTTGCATGCTTTATCAGGAACATTTTTTTGTTACCTGGCATCCATCTGGCACCAGGTTTATTTCTCATGTCTATCACATATCTTTGTAAATGGATACGTTTGTGTAATGTACATGTTATCACCCGTTTGTGTTTTTTTTGTGCATGTATACACAACTTCTAGAAGAAAAAGCATAACACTCTAGATATGATAACAATCCTGATAGGAGTTTTATTAATTTATCAATGAGAGTGAGAGGCAAAAACATTGACTTGATTCTCATGGAATATTATTGTGATCTGGCATTGAAATTCCTCCTTTAGTTTGTTATGTTAAACATCAGACTAGAAGTCTGGCTTCATTTTAGTTCAGGTATATATAATTGACTTTGGCATATTGTTTGGTTTACAATATATACAAGTATTGTACATGGGCATGTTCTGTCATGAGTAAGACCAAACATATTTGGTGACGTTTGTGTAGAACAAGAGGTTAATTTTCTGGTTTTGTTGCCATATAAGCCAGTGTTATTTTTAGGAGGGGTTTCTTTGTAGGAGCTGGTGGTTATCTGGCTGAACAAGGTAGAGGAAGTCTGTCATAAGTCATCCAGATTATTTACGAATTAAAAAATGCAACAATGACAGCATATAATGGTTGTGATCTTAGCTTCCTGATAAAGACGAACTGTTTCTAGTGATTAAGCTTAGGCAGAACAGTCTGATGGCTTGTGCATGTTACCATGTGGTTGATGATTATACATCCACCAGAATAGGTGACAGCAACAGATGGAACAGCATGTGACCATGTGGTTGATGATTATACATCCACCAGAATAGGTGACAACAACAGATGGAACAGCGTGTGTGACCATGTGGTTGATGATTATACATCCACCAGAATAGGTGACAACAACAGATGGAACAGCGTGTGACCATGTTGTTGATAATCGAATGTTGTTGACCAGAATAGGTGACAACAGCAGATGAAACATCATGTGACCATGATTTAGCATTGTTCAACTGAATAGGAATCAATATTAGATGAAATGGCGTGCAGCCTCATGTAAAGAAATTAAATGGGACAGCCTTTGTCAAAGTTGCTAATGTCTGAATTCTTGTGAGGCCTTTCCATATCAGCCATGTTATCAGGTGACATGCAGGTAACAAACTGCTGAATACTGTTTAGTAGAATTATTCACCAATGCTTGATTTCATTGTTCTGTACTAAGCCCACCTTCTAGCTATAAGAGTAAGAATTGATGGTTCCCTGGGCTTATCACAGAATAATTACGGTAATATATTTGTTTGGTTGTATATGTCTAGGAATATCTGTGTAGAAGCTTGGATGTAGATACATTTTCAGATGTGGTTTATCAAAATCATGGTCAAGAATTTAAATATCAACTTATCTAAAATGACTTTTTATGTAACTCTCTCCTACCCCTACCTCTTAGCTCATTAAAACCCATATCACAACTAAACTGGTTGTCAATTTATAGGTTCAACATATCAGCTATAATGTATTCTGTCTCTGAATATTGTGAATAAGAATCACTCAAGTCTTTAATCAAGTACATAGAGAGTCTCTTTAGAGATGAGTGATGAGCTGGTATGAGCAAACACAAACAAGCTCCATTCTTCAGAATGTCAAGTGATATCTGTGTGAACTTCTAAACATCAGTAGTAGTAAACTGTAAAATGTTAACTGATGTTTACTACTACTCAATAGACACCTGGCCTCCATGTACTTTTTCAGGAGTCACAGTGTAAATATTTCTTTTGTCAGTATTTTGCCCTAGTTTTTTAATTTGAGTTTGGAATATGATTGTGTTGATGTGTTGGTATTTTCTTGTTGTATTTTTTATGACATCAACAATGCAACAACAGTCAGTATGAGAATGAGAAATACATGTAGAATGACTTAATAAAGAGAAGTAAGGACAGTAAAATGTGCAAGATTAGAGAAAGGTCTAAGGTGTATGAGGCCACAATACTTAAGATATTAATTTGTGAGGTTCAAATTACCACTGTTGACAAAAATGGTAAGGTCAGACAGGACACAGATGGACCGACTGGAGTCACAGTGTTATTAAGTAAGTAGGTCAGAAGTAATAGGTTATTGGTTGATTTAACTCTGTTTACATTTAAAGTGAATGTTTACCAAGCAGCAGGGATGACACGTATTTACCTGGTACAAAGTTTCGGTCTGAAAAATTTTAGATTGACGTAAAATCATGGGTGATAAATCAATCTTGTCATTGTATTACCAGCGTTTTCAATCATTTACGTGCTACATGGTTCCTACCTATAACACACAGACTTTGTTAATTTATAAAATAATTTGAAATTCACATTATATGTTTGAACTTTATGGCTGTAATGTACAAATTAACAATCAGGTAAGGGGAATTAATAACAACAGCATCAGAGTTCATTTTTGATGACTTTAATTACTACGATGCTGTTGTTATGGATACCTAATTTTTTCTACCTTTCAATCATCCTGCATACTCGCAGATATTAATTTGGAGAGTAAAGAAGCTTAATATCCACCCAAACTTGTGTAATAGGAATGGGTTGGCGTGGCTTGTATATATTGTTAAATACAGTCTATGCCACTCAGCTAACGAAGCAAGCTTCTTTTGCTCAGTTGATTGAGCCAGTCGGTTATCACACCAGAGACCCGGGTTTGATTCCTGGTCGGAGCACCTGATAGGAATATGTATTTTCCCTGTTCTTTCACACTAGAACCAGAGCTTCTGCCACCTAAATCCCTCTCTGTTGTTTAACAAGACACAACTATACATGAGGTGTATTTTTATGAGTGTTGCAAATCTCAGGCCCAATGTCCTTGGAACAAAATCAGACATGTTTATAGGTTTCAATAAAATATGATGGGCTTTGATTGAAAGTATCATTTGTTTGATAGTGACTTACAGACCCAAAACTATAACTGGACTGAAATAGTTTGATGATGAATAATGCATGTACTTTTTGAACTATTGAGAACATCGTAAATTGAATCTTGGGTCTCCACTCTCCAGATTGTACATATTTTAGTGCTTTCTATTCCAATGTCATATACATTTGTAATTGCTTGCTTCTTACTCTCCCTACCACTAAAACAAAGTCATGACCCTGATTTTGTGACTTTGCCAAACAGAATGTGTTAACTATGGGTTTTTCACCTTTGTAAAATAGAATATTTTCCCTACCCATCAAAGTTCTCCAAGCGTAAGTCTGTCAAAACTGAATATTTTAAGGATTCCCTTGATGGTACATCTAGTTGTGAACATGTGTTGTGTACAGATAGGTCAAACAGGCCAAACAAAATAAGCCATCACTTGTTGGCACATTGACCTACATTTCTAATGCTGCTCCTTTGAATATTTATAGCCTAGATTGTAGCTCCTATTTCCAAGCATAAACAAGGTTGTAAAGTTAGCCTTATACCTAAAGACACTGATGTCAATCATATCATTCACTATCCTATTATAGATACAAACTTCATAGTTCAGATTCTGGTCATAGATGTTTATTTAGTCAGGTACAAAAATGGTTCAAGGTCACTGCGTTTGATAATTAAAAGTTGAAATAGTTGGACTTTCAAATTTTTGCTACCAAGTTTAAAGAAACTCCTAGCATGGTGTCAAATGATGAATTAAAGGTAAACATCTACTCCCATAAATTATCACATTTCTCAAGTAAGTATAACTGAGAATTGGGTAATAGGAGTGATAAGCTTTGTGGATTTAGGTTTTACTTTTAAATCTGTACCACATGCCCACTCTGTTTCTATTGGGAGATTGATATAAAGAGATTGTACTATTGTTGGCTATAGCTGTTTATCAGTGCTATCGATACTGCCCACTTTTTGGACGAAAAACATGGTGCTGTGTACATGGTTATCAAACCCTGACTGTTAACCGTATTATTAAAGGTCATGCAGCCCTACCTTTACATGAAGTAATGTAGCATACGTTTGTTTTGCTGCAACATCCAAAATATTTAATTTTAATGAATTGTTGAACCATAAGCTCAGATCAATACCGATACATTTTATTAGCACACAATCATCAGATGGTGTCTATTCAAATTCTCTTGTGTCCTTAGTCCATAATCTGTCTGTCTGTCCTTAACAGTTCTTGTTATCATATGTAGGTTTTCCTTGACCCCTTTGTCCCATTTTCGGACTGATCCAAAAAATAATATGGCCAACAGGTGACCATCTTGAATTTTGACTGTAATAGCTTGTTATTGCTATTTTTTCAGAAATACGAGATAGATCTTGTAAGTTTTGTATGTAGGTTCCGCTTGGTCTCTTGTTGTGTACTTGTGATTTTTGGGGCTGATCAGAAAACAAAATTTGCTTTGAAGCATTCTTGGGTGAAGGGGAATCGGTTTTTGTATACATAATGAGTTTCAGCAGCCTCCCTGGGGTGGGAGATGTGGTGCCGAAAAGGAAAAATTCTTTTATATCCAATGCCAACCATTTAAAATCTTTTCCCATTGATCCATTTGAAGGTTGTCCATTAATTTGTTATTGATATCAATATCAGTATGTAACAATATAATACCATATGTGGATCATAAACTGCTTGTCTGTTTGCAAACTGATTGTCATGTTCTATTCACTTTATCATATTTTTCCACTTCTTTTTTTCTATATGTATCAGATACAAAAAAGATCTGTTCCTAGACATATCTCCGCATATATAAAATTGTATCTAGGTCACTGTAATATTAATAAGCCTGAGCAGTGTGGGATATATTTTTGGACATTATGAGCTACTGTTGATGGACTGTTATAAAACACAAGTAGTCTGTATAGAAAGATAACTGTTGTACATAGGTTACAATAGAAATCAGATGTGGTCATTATAGACAAGTATTTATTGTTACAAACAGAAATCAAAGGTGGTTCCTATTGAGAAGTATGGTAAACCTCTGGTCAGTTCACATAGGCAGGTAGTTCTAACATGTTTTTTTTCAATAAAAACAATTTTCTGTCTAGTGATAGTTTGAACCCTTTCTAGTTGTATTTCACTTACGATTTCTAAGTGATCAAACCTATCACAAGACTGCATGTTTAACTACTGAAAGGCTTTGGCGTTGCAATAACAACTCCGTTGTGATCACTATTCACATTGACGTTAAACGCTGTGGGTAGCATGCTGTTAATGACCATGGTAAGCAGTTGATAGTGTCAAAGTATACACATACAGGTCACTTAATTAGCATTGATTAACTGTGATTTCTTTCACATCTTGATGTAGCAATGTGGGTCTGCCAGCTGATACATCTAGAGGCCCCAACTCTGCATTACAAGCTGATTGAGTGATCAGTATAGACGTTTCATTTCACATTTTAATAAGATAATCATGTCAAAACTATCTCAATAATAATAAGATCCGTAAAGATTTTAAGAAGCATTGATTCGTTGTCATATTAAGTTTCATTCCACACTCTTCATACCGATATGTCAATGCTAACTTCCATCAATTCACATGCAGAAAAGTGCTTTTCACAAGCTTGTCTTTCATCATGATATCCAACGTGATGAGGAACAAAAGTAAGCCTGCAATTTCTTAATAGTTGATTAACATGCATAGCAGTAGAGTAAGTGTTTCAAAAGGTAATCATTTTATAATCAACTCCCCCTCCCCCCTCCTAGAAAATGCCATTGCGAACAATTGGTTTCCTCACTGCCTTGCATGGACACTTTTAGACACTTTGTTGTGATTTCAAAAATCTTCTTCTCAACACCCAGATATGGTGTAAAGTTTACTAAAGCTCATATAAGAAAAATGTATTTTTTAATATAATTTGTTTAATTTCCATTGGAAATATTTCAGCTGTGGTCAGAATTATGAATGAAGGATGATGGTTTGATTATATGCCCATATTGATCCTGGTTGACCCCCAGGGGCTGATATGTGGGGCCAGAAGGAGTCAATTTGACTCAGATTTCAAAAATCTTCTTCTCAAGACTCAGATATGGTAGGATCAAATGCTTTACATAAATGGAAGCATCTTAAGGTGCTTTACCAAAATTGTGAATTTCATGGCCCCAGGGTCTCACATTTCCCCATGGGGAGGGGGTAAAATCTACTATACCGGGTAGTTTGTATAGGAAAAATAGATTTTTGAGTATAATTTGTTTCATTTCCATTTGAAATGTTTAAAACTTGGTTAGAATTATGAATGAAGGATGACAGATAGATGGTATGAATAGATTGATCCTGACTGTCCCCAGTGGGTGTTAGGCATGGCTAAAAAGGGTCAAATTTACTTAAATTCCATAAATCTCCTTTTAAAAAGCTGTAACCCTGATAAAATACTAGCAACAATATACTGCTCTCTTAAAGAAAACTTCTCTTCAGCTTGATCAGTTGAGCGTCAGACTAGTTAGCAACCTTGGTCCTGGGTTGGAATCCTAGTTGAGGATTTGAAATAAATAATGACCTTTGATACAGTTATACTCTGAGAGTTTGCTGGAGCCTCATAGATCTGGGTAGATCGACAAGGCTAATAATCCTCCATCAGTGTTTACCCAGGGGAGGGTGAGTGGCTGATGTGTCCAGTATCAGTTTGGTAGATACTCAGTGAGGAGTACTCACATTGTTATTTCAAAAATGTCATTCTAACTAAAGAAGGACATCTCTACTACCAGTCAATTCTGTTAAGGTAACCTGAAGTTTTTAAGGGTGCAATATGTTAGATAACATCAAAAGAAAGTGATAATATTAACATTATACATTGCAGAGGAAATCAAGACAATGTTGCAGATGAGTGCAAGTATGAAGAAGAAAGCCTATTGTCCGTATAGTAAATTCCGTGTAGGAGCAGCTCTCCTGTGTGACGATGGAACAATCATCACAGGTAAGGACTGTAACAGTGAGTTAAGAACCATCATGACATTTATAGTAACATCAAGCTAAGAACCATTATATCTTTACCATTGCAGATTGATAATGATTTCAATCTGATTGGCCAACACAATCATAGTTTCAACTTCATTTCAGATTATTTGGCATTCTCCATGCTTTTACGTAATACACTCTGAAGGTATACTTAAGCTCAAATGAAGCAATATCTAACTGAAGTAATTTCTTTGCAGGGTGTAATGTTGAGAATGCATCCTATGGATTAAGCATATGTGCAGAGAGGACAGCACTGGTTAAGGCTGTGTCCATGGGTCATAGATCATTCAAGGCCATTGCTATTTCAAGGTAATTTGAACATCTACATATCGAAGCTTAAGCAGCCAAACATAAGTAAGAAATAAGTCAGTATAGTGCCAATGTCACCTAGCTGTTGAATGTAAACAATGTGCCAAAATCACACATGTAGGTCAAAGGTCAAGCTGTATACATGCAGGTTATTTTTATCTCTTATGTGGGTCAAACTGGTTACATCAGTACATGTAGATTAAAGAAAGGTCAATGTGGATTTCTTAGATGTTTTTGCTTCAAGATTTTGGCAAAACTACAAAAAATTAACCATCGAAAATACACCTCAGTTACACTAACATAGAGGTCTGTTACACAACACTGATCTACGTTCATATATGAATGACCTCTGTTTGACCTCTATGCATGACAAAAAGTATAGCTAACCTGTTTGCATTTTATCACATTGTCAAAAATAGATATAATGACCTTCATTGAAACTGAAGGTAAGAATGCACAGTAAACATAGTGGAGATGGAATGGTGATGTGGATATTTGGAAGGTTGCAGGAGTCAGATTTAGCCATTTTCCTGTCAGAAAACGCTTTCCTCATATGGGTGACCTAGTTTTCAGCCATTACTTATTTTACTCAATTTTGTTATACCGCTGATTTCCTAAAAAAAAAAATCGTTATTTTAGCGGCTTTCGACAGCTGTAATACAAATGTTTATTCATGAGGGTAGATATGTGATGGTAAGTAATCTGTAGAATTTCAAAACATCAATCACAGTTAGGAAAGTATGGTTGTAGATTTAAAGTACAAATGATCAAAACAGGTGTTAGGAGATAGTGCTTAAATAGAGGTCATATTTAGCATAGGAAAATCTGGTATTGATTATATGTGAAAAAATCTCCTGTTGATCATAAAAATGTATAAAGAACTGAGGAACGATGTTCCTTTCCTAATATTCATCCATCCTTGCTGGAGTTAAGATGAAAACTGGAGATATTTCTTATCAGTTCTTTAATGCGTTGCTATATAAAACTATTAAGTTCAGGAATTTAAGTAAAGTCTATGAAGACTTGGGTGAAGTACAATAATGATAAATTGCTTTTGTTTTAGTGACCTTAAGACTTCCTTCATTGTTCCGTGTGGTGCTTGTCGTCAGTTTCTACTTGAGGTGAGTTGTCACTGTGATACCAGTATTATCATTCCTGTGTTTTGTCGTGATCTTTTGGAACATTTTCTTCAGGTTGGTAATGCCATTAGAGTTAAAATTCTTATAACACAACCAGTAGCAGATTTGAGGGTAAGGTTTGATGACAACATAGTCACTTCCATCAGAAAAATGACGAGTGTTAAGCTTACTAGCATTGATGCTTGTTTACAAGATGATAAAGAATCAACCAGCTTTTAAGACTGTATTATATTTGATTTAAGTTTCTATTTCTTGTGTTACAATTTTTTTTCAGATTTGACCCTTATCTTTAAAATGATCAAGAAGAAAGATTATTTTATTAAAATTTTAACATAGACTTGTCTTCAGTAAACTATATGTATTTCATTTGATGGTCTGTATATTAATTGTGTCGTATGAAATGTACATATGAAGTCCTCAAATAACTCTGGTTCCAGTTTAATGACTTAATTTTGTAATTTTTGCATTAATAAACATCTTTGTTATGAAAAATATATAATTTGAAAACAAATATAGGATCATATATGAGTTTCATTTCCTTGGCGATTTTATGATACCAGTCTAGGAACATTCCTAAAATTTCATTTGAAGTTGAAACAAATTGATGATACTTTATATAATTTTTAGAAAAGAAATATTTTGACAGGTTTTAATGTCTAGATATGAATGACAGAATAAAAAAGAGGCAGCCATTTTGTTGTTTTGTTTTCAGTTTTCTGATGTAACGTCAATTCCATATTAGCGCATTAGAATCAATTTCTGACTGGCACAGCTAATGAGAAACACTTCAGAGTGTATTACACTATTGACATATACATTTGAATTTTGAGGTAGTATTTCTCACAAAGTGTTTTGTTTATTCATCTTAAAATATTAGAATGAATTTGCCTACCTAGCAATTAATCAAATGGGTGTTTTCACAAATGATTTTGTATATACAGTTTGGCAGGGACTGGGATGTATACATGACCAAACCTGACCATACCTACAACTTGATGAAGACGGGGGAACTCTTGCCCTTAGGTTTTGCTCCTGAGTCTCTAGAAGAGGAAAGGATCAGTCAGACAGCCTAATCCTGACAGTGGTGGACTTCAGATCAGCTAGACTCCTTAGACCTGAGGATGGTGGACCTATCTATATATGTATATAGCCAGACTGGCTAGACTTGACGATGATTTATCAAGGTTCATCCAGACTTTACAATGATAGACTGATATGATAATAAGCCAGACTGCCTTCTGGTAATCCTGACATTGGTGGACTTAGATCAGACAGACTGCCAAGACCTGACGAGGATCGACTGAGGAACAGACAGGTTTCCTAAACCTGACAGTGGTGGACCTAGGATCAGCCAAACTGCCAAGACCTGACGAGGATCGACTGAGGATCAGACATGCTTCTTAGACCTGACAATGGTGGACATTGGATCAGCAAGGCTGCTTAGGCCTGATGACAATAGATATAGCATCAGCCAGACTTCCTACACCTGATGATGTTTGATTGAGGATTAGCCAAGCTGAATAGACTGACAATGATTGACTGAGGATCAGCCAGGCTGCCTGATAAAGAGGAAGGGTGTATTAGTGAGACCGGTCAGATGTTACCAAAGTAGACTGAAGACTATGTAGATCACCTGTCTAATCCAACAATTGCTTGGGTTAAGAGATGATCAGGAAGACTTTGGTCCTAGTCTAAATTTGAATTTAGTGATGCAGTGATACAATGACACAGCAAGGCAGCTATAGACTGTATACAGACCTAATGTCTTTGTACTTTCATTGTTACAGAATAGATATACTTAGTATTCCTTCAGACTTTTTGATACATTGTATTCCTTCAGACTTTGATACATTGTATTCCTTCAGACTTTTTGATACATTGTATTCCTTCAGACTTTGATACATTGTATTCCTTCAGACTTTTTGATACATTGTATTCCTTCAGACTTTGATACATTGTATTCCTTCAGACTTTTGATACATTGTATTCCTTCAGACTTTTGATACATTGTATTCCTTCAGACTTTTTGATACATTGTATTCCTTCAGACTTTGATACATTGTATTCCTTCAGACTTTTTGATACATTGTATTCCTTCAGACTTTTTGATACATTGTATTCCTTCAGACTTTTGATACATTGTATTCCTTCAGACTTTTGATACATTGTATTCCTTCAGACTTTTTGATACATTGTATTCCTTCAGACTTTGATACATTGTATTCCTTCAGACTTTTTGATACATTGTATTCCTTCAGACTTTTTGATACATTGTATTCCTTCAGACTTTGATACATTGTATTCCTTCAGACTTTGATACATTGTATTCCTTCAGACTTTGATACATTGTATTCCTTCAGACTTTGATACATTGTATTCCTTCAGACTTTGATACATTGTATTTTCAGACTTTTATACATTGTATTCCTTCAGACTTTTTGATACATTGTATTCCTTCAGACTTTTTGATACATTGTATTCCTTCAGACTTTTATACATTGTATTCCTTCAGACTTTTTGATACATTGTATTCCTTCAGACTTTGATACATTGTATTCCTTCAGACTTTTTGATACATTGTATTCCTTCAGACTTTTTGATACATTGTATTCCTTCAGGCTTTTGATACATTGTATTCCTTCAGACTTTTATACATTGTATTCCTTCAGACTTTTTGATACATTGTATTCCTTCAGACTTTTGATACATTGTATTCCTTCAGACTTTTATACATTGTATTCCTTCAGACTTTTTGATACATTGTATTCCTTCAGACTTTGATACATTGTATTCCTTCAGACTTTTTGATACATTGTATTCCTTCAGACTTTTTGATACATTGTATTCCTTCAGACTTTTGATACATTGTATTCCTTCAGACTTTTATACATTGTATTCCTTCAGACTTTTTGATACATTGTATTCCTTCAGACTTTGATACATTGTATTCCTACAGACTTTTTGATACATTGTGTTCCTTCAGACTTTGATACATTGTATTCCTTCAGACTTTTTGATACATTGTATTCCTTCAGACTTTTTGATACATTGTATTCCTTCAGACTTTTTGATACATTGTATTCCTTCAGACTTTTGATACATTGTATTCCTTCAGACTTTTGATACATTGTATTCCTTCAGACTTTTTGATACATTGTATTCCTTCAGACTTTTTGATACATTGTATTCCTTCAGACTTTTTGATACATTGTATTCCTTCAGACTTTTTGATACATTGTGTTCCTTTAGACTTTGATACATTGTATTCCTTCAGACTTTTTGATACATTGTATTCCTTCAGACTTTGATACATTGTATTCCTTCAGACTTTTTGATACATAATATCCTTTCAATAGCAGGCTTATTATACTTTATTATACATACAATGTAGTAGCATTTCAGAGATGTTAGTCAAAATAATTTTAGTGAATTTTCAAGTAACTAGTTACATCATCCTTTTTGATGAAGACTTATAGTATTGATTTTAAAATGAAGTAAGATTGTTATATGACTTTCACTTTAGTTTGAAGTAGTTGATTGCCATGTCAACTGACCCAGGATCATTGCTCTGTTATCAAAAAAACATCAAGAAAATACCAACACTACAACATAATCATAATTCAAACTCAAATTCAATAAAACTAGGGCAAAATATTAACGAAAAAAGAAAAGATTTACACAGAGACTCCTGAAAAAGTACAATGAGAATAAGATCAGGTGTTCTGGAATAGTTAAATCTTCTGCTTCATATTGATGACACTTGCCATGTAAATCTTAGTCACTCCAAGTAAGTAATATGTTATAAAACGAGAACAAATTATACAACAATGGAACATATTCACTAGAATATTTCAAATAGATCTCAGAAAAATATATAATGCAGGTTTACAGGAATCCCAGGTTACATTTGATCATATAAATATGATTACATAATTAGGGCCCCACATCGAGATACAGGTGCTCTATCATAATCAGCTTGTCTGTCAGTCTGTCTGCATATCCGTCTGTCCATTTTTGCTTTCCTCACAATAACTTCTGTATTTGTAGTCGGATTCTTACCAATTTGATGTGTGGCTTTATATTACAAGACCTTGCAGAAGTTTGATAACCAGTGAAATCCATCAACATTTGCAGAAGTTTTGGGATTTTGAACGACGAAAATTGACCATTTCATTACTTTCTGCACAATGACTTGCTTATTTGTAGTTGTATATTCTCCAAATTTTGGACATGGGATTCTATCAATTAAACCTCACATCGGTTTGATAACCAGTGTCATCCATCAATGTTTGCAAGAGTTATGGGACTTTGAATTCTGGAAATATACTATTTTGTTAATTTCTGCACACTGCATATTTATGTACATTAGTCATCGCATGGATTTGATAAACATTGAAATCTGTTCATATCTACAAAAGTTACAGGAATTTGAGTGTTGATACAAATGGTCATAATGACATTCTTCACAATTGTGGTTAATTTTGAAGTGGAACAGAAAATCCAATAAGGGCAGCGTGGCTTCTGATCGGCTAAGACATTTTTTGCTTCTTCTCAAGAAATGCTAGTGATATTGACTTCTAACTTGGCACAGATGATCATCATGTTGTTCGGCACAAGTGTTGTTTTTGGCACAGATTGGAACATCCAGAACGGCCACCTGGCCTCTGATTGACTTGATCTGTGCATACTATGCAGTTAAATGGTCAGTTTGTTGAATTAAATATTATGTAGTTGAATGGTCAGTGAATACACAAAGTCATCTTGATAATGATATATAGTTGGCTGTTATAGGTCTTTATACATAGGTGGTCATTATAGACAGGTAATTGATATTCATAATGGCATTAATACATTTATATTGATATGTTGTGGTCAAGGTGATCATTTTAGACAAGTGCTTGTTATGCCGATTTTATTGACTTTATATTATGTTGTAGACCTTGTTATTCCAAGGAGTTTATTTTACCAATAGGTGTTCTTTATACAGAAATGTTTATATTAGAGGTGTTTATAAAGGTAACTTACATAAGAATGTGTTAATTAGTTTACATAAAATAAATAGGTGAAATGCACAGCAGGTGTGTTACACAGATATGTCAATGAACAGGATTCCAAGAGGTAATATAAAGAGACTGTTGAAGCAAGTACATTTTATTACAATTAAGTAATTGAAAGAAACGGTTTATAATCCCTATTGACTGTAGGTGAATATACTGTTTTTCTTCCTTTTTTATCTGATTTGATATACAATTGACAGGTGCTTCTTTTCCAGGATGAAATATGTATTCCCTGCCCCTCTTTCAAAGACTTCAATTTTGATAGGTTTGACTTCTTAGGATACTATGCTTAAATGCAGAGAGGTTTAGATAGCATCAAATTTAAACAAGTAATTTTTGATAAATGATGAAGAATTTCCCCATATTCTAAAGCCTTTTGTCTAGAGTAATGGGAAATACATATAGAACATTAAAGCTGAGGTGTTGTTCTTGGTATACATCTATCACGTTCAAAAACCTTCTTAATTTATAACTATTCAAGAATTCTACTGTAGTCACATAACGTTGTGGTTGTAACAATGAAGGCTGATTTTTAGTCCCCCATAATGATTGTTATCTTTGATAGTAAACCCGAGCTGTGTTGCTTCTCAGTTGTGCTGCTAATTCTTGTGTCATCTGTTGACAGGTAAAAATTCCTCTGTGTCATTCTAATTAATACCAGTCCCTTGTCTACATGTTCCCCAGCCCCAACTCTGAATATATATGAACTGTACTCATGCTAATAAACACCCTCAGCTCCTCCTTACATATTCCCAGTCCCCTGAATTGAACATGTATAAACAGTATTCATGCTGATAAACACCCTCATCCCCTCCCTATATCTTCCCAGTTCCCTGAATTGAACATGTTTAAACAGTATACATGTTGATAAACACCCTCATTCCCTCCCCAGTCCCCTGAACCTGACATGTATAAACTGTATTCATGCAAATAAACACCCTCATTCCCTCCTTACATTTCCCCAGTTCCCTAAATCTGACATGTATAAACTGTATTCATGCAAATAAACACCCTCCTTCCCTCCTTACATTTCCCCAGTTCCCTAAATCTGACATGTATAAACTGTATTCATGCTGATAAACACCCTCATTCCCTCCCTATTTCTCCCCAGTCCCCTGAACCTGACATGTATAAACTGTATTCATGCAAAAAAACACCCTCATTCCCTCCTTATATTTCCCCAGTTTCCTAAATCTGACATGTATAAACTGTATTCATGCTAATAAACACCCTCCTCCCCTCCCTATATCTCCCCAGTCCCCTGAACCTGACATGTATAAACTGTATTAATGCAAATAAACACCTTCATTCCCTCCTTACATTTCCCCAGTTCCCTAAATCTGACATGTATAAACTGTATTCATGCTAATAAACACCCTCATTCCCTCCCTTTATCTCCCCAGTCCCCTGAATTTTTTTAATAGAAAACCAGTTTTCATGAGGTAATACTTACCATAACTTTAGTATGCAAATATGGTACCTACACCCATCTTTGTATCCCAAAAACAAAAGATTTTAAAATCCTGCCCTCCCTACGATCCATGAGCCTTCACGACAGGAACATAGAGTGATCTCCCTTATGGCTGCTGGAGAAGGCGGACATACTGAGCCGAGTGCTTTCCTTTTTTCATTGTAGTATATCCTTCTTGTAGCTGAGTAATTTATTACTCGGTTTTATTCTCAAACTCATCTCCCAACTTCACAATCACTTGCAGACGTTATATTTTGGCTATTTTCTGCTTAAATTCGGCCTTTTTTCGGCCCATCCCTACTCCACGTGTCCGAGCGCGTGACATGTTTTTCGTTGTTCGGTTTTCGTGAAGTTTGTTGCCTTTTTTAACGGTGGTCTTTTTTTTTACGACCGTTTTTTTGTTATTTATTTGCTACATTACGTTAGTTTTGTGCTTGTGTTTGTGGTTTATTTTTTGGCATATTTTTCTCAAAAAAAAATTTTTTTTTGTTGCCGTTTTTTCTTGATTCTTTGTTATTTCAAGTATGGCTAGTGCAGGTTTATGCCATGGTTCGGCACATGGGTGTTCCTATTTCTTCGGAGAGCTGGACCCCCATTATGACTGTCCTTTGTGCCGACCTTGCAGCGAGACAACGCTGTGAGAACTGTCAAGGCTCCCGTGCCAGTGTGGCAAACTTCTAGCCGGAAAAGGGATTTGTCCTCTTCTTCCGTCAAGAGAAGTAAGTCCTCTAGTTCCTCCACCTCCAGTTCTGAACTGGTGGGTGAGTTTGATGTTCCTGCTGGGGGTGCTCTCATTCCCCCAAGCTCCGCCCTTGAGCAGGGGGTGGTAATTATTACTGAAATGCAATGAACATGTATAAACTGTATTCATGCTGATAAACACCCTCATCCCCTCCTTATATCTCCCCAGTCCCCTGAATCAAACAGGTATATAAACTGTATTCATGCTGATAAACACCCTCTGTTTCAAACATGAATTATTTAAATTAAACAGTTTTATCTTTCAGTTACATTTTTATTTCAAATGTTTGCATACTGCTGTAACCTTTTATCCATATTTAGCAGATATCAATGTTTCTGGCAGAAAGCCATTCTTCATGTGTGTATTATGTATGTTGACTTGATAAGTAGTGAGAAATATAGTGTATCGTGATTGATGTTTAAATCATGGAATCTTACATTTGTCAATTGATAAACTAATGAAAGCTATGTGTTTCATTGTATTACCTCAAAAGAGTTGCTGTTTGTATAAATAAAATTCATATCATTTTGAAACGAGTATCCTGCTGTTGTTTCTTGCATGACTTTAAAAGCCAGGTGGATTAAGTTGATAAAACATTAATCTAAAATGAGGAATAAACAGGTGGCCTAAAGGGTCAGAATCGCTCACCTATTCTGCTGAAGACTTTGTCAGTTTGGTAAGTCAATTTCTGCAATCTTAAAAGCTTAATACCCAAGTATGCTTCTACATAAATTCCAATATGCAAGAGCTATTGCTTGTTGAAAAAAAAATGTTAAGGTCTTGACATATTTGACACAGTGATTTTGAAACTTGGTCATTTGAACGATCTTTGTAGCTAGCACCTCATCCCTGCATCATATAGGTCCAATACAAACTCCAGGGACTTTTGGATATTGTGAAGAAGTTATCTGAAGATTTTATCACATTTGACCCCAATGACCTTAAATGTGGGTCAAGATAATTTATATGAGCAAACTTTGTAGCCTTCATTCCACTATGCCACAGGCGCAATATCTGTTACCTGTTACCTCTTCATAGACACCACTTGTTAGCTTATCTCAGCTAATTGAGGTGCATTTTGTTGAGTCAACTCGTTGTCCGGTTGTGCCACATAAAAACTAGGATAAAACTTGAATGGTACTTGTTGCCGGTGTTTGTTCAAAAGACTCTTAAAAGTGTTTGGGGTAGGGGCATCTATTACAGTGTTAGGAAGAGAATTCCAAAGATCTACTACCCATTTAGTGACATTTGTCCTGCTATGCTTCTTGAAAAGTTTTTTACTATTATCTCTAGTAGAGGCTGTGAACATAGTAAATAGTTTGTCTTTGTCAAGTTTGTCAATGTTGTTTAGGATTTTATATACCTCAACCATATTGTTGCTTTTACGTCTATACTCTAAAGTTGGAAGACCTAGATTTTTTAACCTGGCATGACATGGTAAGTTCTCTATGGAGTATATATCAGCATCCTGGTCATTTTGCTATTGAGAAGACATTCTTTGACACTGGGCAGATGACAGATGCAGCACCTAAGTCATAAGCTCACATGCTAAAAATGAGAGTTTGTTTATTAGAATGATTTTTTTCATGTCAATGTTGACAAGTTTCTATCGGAGATGAAAGCAAGCCACTGATAATCCAAGCCATAAGTACTTGCCAGGTAAGAGTAATTTCATAGTTATTTGTTTGCTTGGTGTAAAGCGCTATGGACAGCCAGGGTCATTTAAACTGGGCGACCATCTTGGATTTGGCTGTTAAAGATTATTATTTCTATGTTTGCAAAGGAATGTTCAAATTTCTTATCATCAAGAGCAAAAACTGGGAAGAGAAGTTGAAAGAAGTGAAAAGATCAAAACGCAAATAAAGATGATAAAAATTATTTTCTCTACTGCTCAATCACCCTGCATACTCTTAGGTATCTAGCTGAAGGGTCAAGGAACCTAACACCCAACCTACCTAGCACGAATGGCGTTGGCTCTACTACGTAAATCCTTCTCCGATAAAAAAATGGTGGGTGCCAAGATCACTCTGGGATCTCGTTATGATTCAATGGACTTATTTCAAAGTTACGATTTCGTTTTTTTTCCTGTAAATTCTTATTTCTGGGGTTCCGATTATCAATAGTTCAAGAACATTAAACATTACAAACACTTCCACTGTAGTCACAGACAATCCTGGCAAATAAAAAGATTTCAGAATAAATTATCTGTATAGTTATACAGTGTTGATCAAAGTTTTTATGCTTCAAATGATTAATTAGGTTCAATCCTCTAAAGAAAACACCCATGATGAATTAACTTTCATATACCTTCAGTGGAAAATGTATGTATGACCTTGACTCCATCAATTTAAGTCTTTGAAAAATTAATGGATACGGGGATGCAGTTGAGCCAAGTTACACTAAACCTGATAGGATATTTATAGCATGTGAGATTGGATTAACTGAAGAAAATTCCTATATAATTTCTCACCTTTTACTTCTTGAATTATGATATTCATCAGGGTTTCTGTGTATCCTTAATAAACAAATACTTCAAGAAAAAGTTTGTTTTAAAAAAGTTCTTTTAATATTTAATAGTGTTAATAACATTGAACATATTTCATCAGTTTACGATCACATATCAAATAAAAACATGAAATATATAATGCCTGTATGATGCGGTCACACCTGTGTAAAGTTTTGCCTTTCACCTTAGCAACAAGGACTTTATTCCCTAATAGGACATGGCAAGAGATCCCAGAGGGATCTTGGTGCACACCTTTGTTTGATCTTTATATGTCTTTAAAAATAGGATTTTTTTCCTTCTTTCATCTGTTATTGCTGTTCTCAGTTATATGAAATTTGAAAATTCCTCTAGAAATGGCAAACATTCAAAATGGCCACCTGCCAGTCATTTTTTTCCGATCAGTCCCAAAATCAAAAGAGTAAAACATTGGGAAAGATTAATTCAGTACTTCTCATGAAGTAGCTATAACATGATATGTTTAAACACTGTTGACAGAATGGAAGACAGACGCAGGGTAATTTGAACAACTTACCATCTGATGATTTTGGTTGGCTTATAAAACTTTTGAAACATTCAACATATGGAATATTTCTCTTTTTTATTTCATTGTGTACTCTGACAAAACTCAAATTTCTCTTTCAAACTTGTTAAGAACAAAACATCAACATATTTTAACAAAATAAACTCTTTCATCTTCAAACAACATGTATTCCATCCACAAATAATATGAACATTTTTCTTTGTACGAAACAAAAACACAAAATTTTAACATAAAACAATGATCTGAGAACATTGATTTAACATAGACACGACAGATCAGAAATTTTTACTTGTGTAAATTTCAATGTATGTAATTTAGTATAAAATGAAGGCACATATTCCACAAACCCTACGGAGAAATTGGTAATTTTTGACTGATGATTCTAATGCACGTCCGATTGTCAACAAGTAACGAACAGAAAACATACACAAATTTCAAAGTGAGATCTATGTGTAAACAAATGATATGAACCCGTACACCTGACCTTGTCTGCTTATAAGACACCTAGCAAAATGCAACCATTTACTAAAAACTGAATAATAAAATATTCCTAATGTTGATGTCGTAAAAACACGTCGATTTTGGCTCAGAACATTTAGCAGATCTCTCAAACAGATGACATGCAGCAGTATCAACAGAATCGTCTGACCCAACACAAAAATATAAACAAAAATTTATTTTAGAATCAATGGGCTTCTAATTAATTTATAAAATTTCATTAAACTTAAAGATATTTTTAAAAATCCTCTGGTTTGACTTGTTTTACTGTTTTTTCACTTTCCTTGCTACCTAGCGAATTTGAATTTTGCTATTAATTGAAGTAGTTGTGATGAGATCTCATACACCTTAGACACCTGTTGTACAGCTGGTGATCATGAATATTAATGACACACATCAGAAACGGCCCCACATTGTGTCAGAATCTAAACCTAAGAGTTACATTGATATTTAATTTTTGTGTATTGCTTCATACAAATATTTCAAATGACCTAATGACCTCTACCTGTAGTTAGTTGAGTCATCATTTGATTTCAACTAACTATGCTTCATTGTCATAACAAAGTATTTAACAATGAAATATTTCAAGCTTGACCTTTGACCTGATGACCTTGATATAAGGTTGGTCAACATTTTATTTGATTTCAGTGAATTAAGTTTCATTATGTCATGAGTAAACATTTATCAGTAAAATTCAGATAGGATATAGTCTTGACTGTACATTCACATTTCTATAAATAGTAATGGTGACCTTGACCTTTGATTCATTAACAAAATATCAACATAGAGCTAGCACTTCCTGTGAAGAAGCAATGAAAAAAGTCTGCATAAAATTATTCATACAGAACTGAAATATTTGCCAGAAACTGATTCATTATTCATTATGAATAATTCTGACCTTTGACCTTTCACCTAAAGGACCCAAAACTCATTAATTTCTTTCAGAGAAACATTGCATGGATAAAGCTTGAGTGGAATTTGGCTGAAAGAATTTAAAGATATTGTGCTGAAAAAATAGAAGGTCCACAAACTGACTACTATAGATTGCCTGAATGTAAGAGGTGAGTACCCTAACTACATATCTGTACAATAAATATAGTGTTAGTATGTCTACACTGTTTAAATAGAAATATTATAGTTCAGTCACTGTAACATACTCATGGTGCATTTTATTTACAGAAAGATTGACATTCCTCAACTACAACTGAAAGTAAAACAAGGTACAGAGTAACGATTTTACCTGGGGTAAAAGTAGGGAGTAAAACTATCTAAAGAATCATTTCCTGTGAAATGTATAAACAAAATCTTAGAAATTAAAAATTTTTTGCTAAACTTTTGAAAGAGTTCCTGGTGAATTTTATGAAGGTTTTGAATGAAAGAGATCCTATTAGACATGATGTAACAAAACTTTGCTGCCAATACTACTGGTGTTAGGGGAAACAAATTTCCCTTCAATTTTTAAAAATCACTGGTGTCCCCCATTGAAAGTCTGTAACGCTATCAATTGATGAAATCACCAGTGAGAATAAACAGAAAAGATTTAGGTCACTATTTCACACAACCTATGTTATAGATTTTTTTCTTCATACCGAACAGTTTATATAATAGATTTGTTATTTCCCGATTTAGGTAATGGATTTGTTATTTCAGAACAATTGATATATTAGATACGTTATTTCACGATTTATGTAATGGATTTGTTATTTTAGAACAATTAATATAATAGATATGTTATTTCACGATTTATGTAATGGCTTTGTTATTTTAGAACAATTAATATTATAGATACGTTATTTCACGATTTATGTAATGGAATTGTTATTTCAGAACAATTGATATAATAGATACGTTATTTCACGATTTATGTAATGGATTTGTTATTTTAGAACAATTAATATAATAGATACGTTATTTCACGATTTATGTAATGGAATTGTTATTTTAGAACAATTAATATAATAGATACGTTATTTCACGATTTATGTAATGGATTTGTTATTTTAGAACAATTAATATAATAGATACGTTATTTCACGATTTATGTAATGGCTTTGTTATTTTAGAACAATTAATATAATAGATACGTTATTTCACGATTTATGTTAAAGTTTTGTTATTTCAGAACAAACAATATAATGGATAACAAAACTTTGATAACAGGATAGCTATGTGATATACGATATACAGAGTCAGGAGTGGGCTTATCACAGGACAATGAAATGCACAAAACTACATAATACAGTGTATGTAATTTATAAATTAATTAAACAGCAATATATGAGTTATTAACAGGCATGGGCTTATTGGCAGATAAAATGGTAATTTTCTCTTACTCTAGACAGGTAAATCCACACATTTAACTGATGGGAGATTTCCCTAGGTTTGAGACGGGGATTCCCCTATCAGGAGGATGACATGACGTCACAGTAACAGATCATTAAGAATAATAAAATCATGTCAACGAAGCGAAGCGTTGGGACAACATAAACAGATACGAGTACCTAATAAAGCCTGCAGGGTAAAAGAAAACTAATCATTCATCCTGTAGTTGGTGATCAGGTGACGTGACCATGTAAAAGCAGACAAACATTTAGGTAATATGGATATACAGCTCACTATACTTATATAGACTTACACTATAAAAACAGAATGTACCCACATCATAGCAATGTTACTGATTTATCTTCAATAATCCTAAGGGGAGATAATCTGTAACCAAATACTACTTTGAAAAGTAATAAAGTTATAAATACAGGTGGGCTTATTACCAGACATAGGCTTATTCATAGGAAGAAAAAATCTGCAGCAACTATGATATTTAAATCTTCAGCGTGTATTCTCTGATCTGATGTTAACACTTCAGTTAACAATTCAGTGAACTTTAAGTCTGAAAACCTTTCAAGCCATAATAGAATCAATCAGCTGTTTCGATATTCTATCAGTTGTTGAGCTGTGCCATCAGTGCGTATAATTTCCAATGAATGATGATTATTATTTCTGTAAAGTTACATAAATTTGTAAAATAAAAGTCAAAATGTAACTATATGAACATTTTTTTCTGTTTTAGTTGTTGACACTTGTGTTAAAAGTATTTTTTCTTTTTTTTTTATACCGATATTTAAACATGACAGGTAAAACATCTGTAAAAATAGTTTACACACCAATAAATAATAAATAAAAAACAATTGTATCAACTTATTATTGTTATTCTATTGTAATTCACTATTGATATCACAGACCTCTAGTTATAGCTCCAGCATGCAATGTTCTTTAAAGCATTTTCATCACTTGAAAGAAGTATTGAAAATTAAATTGAAAATTGAAATCCTATTTCAGATGAAATTTAACTAAAACTTTACATAATTTTTTATCCATCTAATTTAAGAGTCTTGTTTTAATTGGAAAAAAAATCATACAGTTGGTTCATAAACATCACTTGAAATAGTAACTACAATGATCTCCATCTAGCCTCTAAACCAAATTCACATATCAATCAAACTGTAAACACAAGAGTTATGTTTTTAAAATCACCAGTACAAAAGTCTACGATCAAATACACTTAAATTATACATCAAACAATTTCACAATTTTTCATAAATTTACTTCCACATACCCGGGGTAATTTAATTTATATCCGAATATTAGAAATATCAGTCGATTCTTACCCTGTGATAACAATTTTACCTAACTCGTTATACTGTTATATTATACAAGAAAACTTGCCACTTTTCTGCCAATAGGGCCAAAATAAACGGTCGGTAAAAGTTTGATGTTTTTAGGAGATGAAGACAGCAAATTTTTTTTTCAAGAGGATGAAAAATAAATCTGGGCAAATATTTCCTTAACATATGGAACAAGCATCACTCTCACTTCCTATTAAAAGTTTTTCTTTGTAGGTCAGAACTCTCCCTAAGTAAGCCAGTTAAACCTGACAGTAAATCTACCATAGTGTAATTATCCTGAATTAAGTCCAAGGGGACAACACACTCTGTAGTGAAGGGATGTGGGCTTATTACAGGGAATTCACATAGCTTTTGTTGTCTACTGAAACTGCTAATGAATGTGCGTGGGCTTAATATAAGACATTGGCCTATTAATGGATAAATAAAGTACCAACCTATCATACAATAATTATCTACTGACAGGTAGCTATACTCTGTTTACAGTATACAATCTATACAAGATATACAAATTCAGTTTTGTATATAGGGTAAGTCAACAAGTTCTCATTTTATAGTAGAAAAGTTTATAGTACAAATCTGGTATGAAAATGGAACAAATACACATTTTTCTGTTTTTCTTCACTCAAGAATCAACTTCAGCTTTTCATCAGTGAAAATCGCACCACTCCTGTGTTGTTTCCTCCTATATATGCAATGCCTTTGTAAAGTGTTCTGTGTAATGAAAATTCACATTCATGATAAATGCCTCCTTTATACATGTTCTTCATTTATCTGTTGTGGTTCAATAAGGGCTGATATTTATTGTGTAGATCAGAAAAACTGTCAATGGTTTAGCACCGATATGTCACAAAGTTATTGCCAGCAATAAATTGATTGGTCAAAGTTCAAGGCTGACTTGGGGTTAAAGGTCAACCCATGGTCATAGGTTATTGGAATGCTAATTACTGAGGTCTATAGAGTCTAAGCTGGTCACACTTGGGGTGGAGGCCAGAGGTTTCTGTTGTTTACGAACGTTCCAGTGTAAACATTCTGCTAAACTATCAAACCAGTCATCCATTTGATCTTTAAAACACACAGATGGTACTGGATACTGAGCTGTAGTTATGATAACACTGAAAGGAGAGAAAACACAATTGAATTTCATCAGTTTCAGAAAGAATATGATTATTTCTTTCGTGCATATGACAAAACAGACATTAAGGTAGCTAATGACTTACATTTTATCGATTAAAATATCAGTTTTGAAACACTAACATGAGTCTAAGCATCTAGACAATTTTCTTTACAAAATTCTTATTCTGGACTTCAAACTTTACCCTTACCTTGTCTGACATGATAACACACAAGAAGTAAACTTACCTGTCCCCCTGGGTAATCTCCTGCCGATCACGGCCGTCAAAAGATGCAGATGCAGGATTCCGTGAATCTGGAGCTACGCTCACCTGTTAGAGCGAGTTAAGATGATTTTTATTTTTTGATGTGATATTTTTCAGATAAGAACAATTGTATACTTTTAAATTAATATTTCTTATCAGGAATATCAAATGCTAAAACAAAAGTTCCAGACTAAATTTAAAATCAACCAAACTAATGGTGTCAATGCACAATTTTCTTAAAACAAATCTTCATGTCTATTGCTTTATGGTGTTGAAGGAAATTACTAACTGAAGATCAGTTGCACACTACCTTTATTTCCACGCCTGCAGGCACCACTATTGGTCGAAAGGATAAGGAATGTGGACAGATTGGGGTGATCACAATGGCGGGAACACTAGGATGGACCATAGACGCTCCAGCAGCCATGGCATAGGCTGTGCTTCCTGTAGGTGTGGATATAATGATGCCTGAAACCAGAAATAGGCTTGGTATCAAAATGGGTCAAGGTCATCAACCTAAATCTAAAAGATTGTTAAAAGCAAAATCACATGCTGGAAAATGTTTTAATGTCAAAATTAGATAGTATACTGTAAGTGAAAGTAAGTAACGAGAAAAAGTTGAAAAAAAAGACACAAATACACCCTCACGTGCATATCATTTCCTTGATGAACTTTCAGAAGTGGTCATTTGTAACCTTTGACCCTTAAATCGTGACTAATGAGCACCTAAACATGATGAAGTGTAAAACATAATTTTAAGATACTTTGATGTAAATATGGACCAAAACACTTGATTCAGACAGGATGCAATGCACACAGATGGATAGACAGATACCAGTTAAACTATATGCCTTCCTTTAAAATGGGAAGGAAATGAAATATCCTTAGTCTGAGAAATAAACAACATGACATACTAAAGGTGGTTAATTATGGCTGATTCCAATAGTTGTCATGTGTACATCCATTTATTAAAACTGTTCCTCAAAGTAATGATCTTTAACTCTAATAATCTTCTAAAGGACTTACCATCTCCTTGTGCTGTGGTGACAAGACGACCTTCAACATAAAGGTCAAGGTTGGTGAGATATGATGACTGCCCGCGATCTATTACTACTTCATTGAAAACCTGTATACAAATTGAGAAGATCAATTAACACGAAAGGTTCATTACATTTATTGAAAACATAATTTTTCTTGGAATTCAATATCGTTTGTGAAAATTGATGTTAGTTACATTTGATATTGACTACAGTACTAGTCACCTGTCTGGAGTTGTATTGATTACTTGTTTAGAACAGGTGAACATATCACAGCGAAAGTTTAACTGAAGCAAAGAGACTTGATAACATACTTTCTGTAAACACATGTATCCCTCTTCCCAATTTCATTTCAAAGAGTTATTTCTAAAATCACAACACAAGGCCTTGGCCTGTATTGCTGTTCCATGTGTTATCAGCTTTGATATCCTTGTTTCAGCGGGTCAAAGTAAAGCAAGTGTAAAGCGAGGGAGTTGGTATGACTTGTACGTAGTGTTAAATATGGTCTCTGTCAATCAGCTGACGTTCTAATCCTGATTGGAGCACTTGACACCCAACAAAATCCTATGGATACTTGAATGTACAAGCTTTTTATATTGGAAAGTAGTGATATAAAATACTCCTCTTGGCTTAGAACTAATGACCCTTCAGTCTCTAGCTACATACTCTATCACCCCAGGGAAATTCCCACTAGCCAAGGCTAGTAAGGTGATCTGTGCTTTTACTTCTACACTACTTCCTTCTTCACAAGGTCTTTGACCCCAAAAACAACAACAACTAAGGTAAGGTATTTCCAAGAAAGCATTTCAATCTCCTATAGCTTCTACCCTTGGAGTGGTCAACGGTACCAAGTCTGTGATAGGAGGAAGTAATGAAAAACACCCTGTCACAGCTGGGGTTCAAACTTGTGACCCTTCCGTCTCTAGCCAGACACAATGCTTCTAAGGTGACATGTACTCTCATCATAGGTAATGTGGTGTACCAATATTCTTGCTCCTATCCGGGTAGCCACAGGACACTTTGTCGGTGAAGAAACATCCCTCTTGCTAACTATACACTTGAGGCGATATCTCAATAGTAAACTTGCATTCCCTGCAAAACAATTTAAACCTGTAATCCAATATTTTACTGTATTTAATGTCTCTAATTTAATGTCTCTAAATTTGCTACAATGGTACAAAAATTGTCTCCCTTTGTTCACATGATAACAAACATAGGGTCAACAGATACTGACTTAATCTTGTTTTAGCGTTAATGTGCCATGACATTGGACTTTTTAACATAACTTACCTTCTAATACACAAGAGACTTGTTCTTTGAAGTTATTGAAGTGGAAAGGTGTTAAGAATCCTAAAGATCCCAGGTTAAATGCCATCACTGGTGGTACACTCGACTACAAATACAAGTAACAATGAAGAAATATTGAGTATCATTATTTGACCAATTTCTACAGTAATGGTGACCTTGACCTTGGTAAACTGAGTTAATGTCATCATCTAGCCTGATAGAAACAAATTCACTAAATTGGTATTACTGAATCTGTTAATAATTTCCTATAAACAGTGAACTTGATCTTGGTCTTTGCACCTTGAAATATAGGAATCATCAAAGGCATTTTTACATGAATATTATACAAAGTTTGATCGTGAACTGTGTCAGGAAGATACAGTAGGACAGTTAATAACTCTAGTTCAGGGTTATATTTAATACATTTACTTCCAAATGGGGCAGCAACTCTTCAAGTCTAAATCTAGTAACACGAACGATATCTACAAACAAAAGCAGTAATTGTAGTTTGCCTATTGGGCTGTATGAGGAATATTCAATACTTCCTGAAGGCCAGAGGGAGACGCTATTGCAATGTTAAAACTACCACCAACAGGGGCAGTAACCATGGAGAACCTACTTTATAATGTTAAAACTACCCACAAACAGGGGCAGTAACCATGGAGAACCTACTTTATAATGATTAAACTACCCACAAACAGGGGCAGTAACTCTGGAAAGCTTATTTTTAAAATGTTAAATGACCAGTTTATAATACAACTACCCATCAACAGCAGGGAGTGGTGAACATTGATACTCCAATCTGTAATATGAGTAGCATATCCCTATGTCAACATTTCTTATCAATTAAACTTGATGTAAGAGAGCTTTTACAGAAGTAATCTCACCAAACATAGGTATCTTAGTGTGAGCTTTTCATTTCTGCTTAGTCAACACTACAAACGCCCACATCTTACATAAAACCTACTTTTTAATTGGATTGATGTTCTAAATTTTGACCTTTATTACTCAGAGCTACTTAGATACCATTTCTTACCTGAAATAATGACGAGGCATATAGTAGTGTACCGTCACCACCCAGACATATAATGAAGTCCACTTTGTTAGTGAGATCATCCTTTTCTGAAATGTCAACAAAATGAAATTTTCTACCCATGTTGTAACAAGCTTTCACTCACGAACATCAAATGTTGTGTGTCCATTAAGTACACACTATTACAATGTCACTATGTATACAGATATAAAACAGGATAACACTTATCAAGGAGTGTTTTTCAGGGAAAGCAGTGCTTACTTTTGCTCCAACTTTTCGACTCCTGCAGTGTATTGCTAGTTACTCATTCTAACTGAGAATCAAGTCTACATATATATCTCTTCATGATGAGATGACGATTGGATAAAATCAATTATTTAATTGTTTACCACATCTGTTGCCATGATCAATAGCAATTTTCCATAATTGATAATTTGTACCTTAGTATTTTCTGGTGTTTTTAGCAAAAACATAATTCATATTATACATAATAGAGAGATACAAAATGTCAATGACATTCAATCTTATATAAAAATTCTTGGTAAATGAGGTTTCTTAGCTTAAAGTTACAAAAAAATATTACCTTAATGAAGAATATGAACATTTAATGAATATTGAACACACAGCTGATTATATAGACGATTAACTACGTCTGAAAGCCTATCCAATTATAACTGATAATCAATTATGGATTTCAACTGATTTCCCATCATTAATATCTCTGTTTTATATATAAATTGGACAAAAGGCACTGTTTCAACATAGCTTTTCAGTAATTCGACTAAAAATGTGAACACCATTTAAGATCACTTTCAATCTCATTCAAATAGACTAATAATCATTAAACTAGACCAACTGTCATTAATAAAGACCAGCTATCATTAATACAGACCAATGATAAGATTGATTTTTACACAATGACTTCTGTTTTGTTTTAGTACATACAGATGAAACTCGTCTTGAAATTGCTTGAGACAAAATTCTGTTAGAAAATAATTTCCAAATGTCATATTTTTTCCTTCTATATCTTTGTAATTTTAGTTCGGATGACTCAAATTTCATTGAGTCGAAATTTTGTTTGCATCAAAGTGATTTTTCGGTCCCTTCAATTGTAAAGCAAAGGAAAAGTCATTCCTTGTCCTGAATTTATTTTTGTCAAAACATCAGCATGTCTTCTGACGAAATTAGTCAATACTTACACAGAGTCGAACGTCGTCTTTGTAACACATGGCTAATTAAGGCCTTTCAGTCTATCATACACACCCCACGTTTGGTCTCTGGCAATTAATTACCAGTTCAATTATCCAATTAAAAGTTGGCTTCTAAATTAGTGTCACCATCCTGTAGTAACGACTTACCTGTTTGTTACACAAGTAGCACGTTTACACAAGACATGGAAAAATTTAGTTAAGTTGCATGCATATTCAGGAACACTTAAAACATCAAATCAGTTCAAACTTTATTTTCATTTCAGTAATAATTACCATAACTTCAGTATGCTCAGCCCAACGCCAACTTAAGTTATGGTAAGTATTACTGAAATGAAAATTGGTTTTACAAGAAAAATCTCAAGACAAAATCTGATCCCCCAATTTCGAGAGAAACTGATTTTTTTGGTTGTTTTCTAACGGACTGTGATTGGGTACTTTGATAGATTTAGTGCTTGGACAGTAAGCCTTATCATTGTCATTTTTTAGATATATGATATATATGTGCTCTGTTCGTAAGGGTAGTGTACACATGTGCGGGACAAAATGATTGAGTACCAGTGCAGTTGATCAGTGTTGTGGTTACATGTTTTGTAGTTTGGATGAATAAACGATTTAAGGAGAAGTGAATTCCACTGTTTTGGCGTACCCTGCTATCGTAGCCCTACATCGTTTAACCGTATTCTACAATGGGAAATTGATATGGTCAACTTTATTCGATACTTTGTTTGAGTCAAAATTTGGATAAGTCAAAAAATTTTCCAAGGTCCCTTGAATTTCAAGAAAATGAGCTTTGACTGTATTAGGAATGTTTGAGGAGTATAGATTCCTTTACAAATCTGTGTGTTTCTATGTGTAACAGATCTGACTACAAACTCTACAGCTCCTTAGGTAGGTATATTACATTTGTAATACCTTAGTGAAATGTCTGATTCAGAAATGTTCTGAAGAAAATAACAGCCTTGATTGTTTTTCCTTGAAGTAAGAGCTAGGTCAGTTATTACAATAAAGCTCATAATTGTTCATCCAAACATTACAGGCATCAGGACTCTAGCCCTCTTAGTTATTTGAAGGAAGGTCTTTCAAAGATTCGAACATTGTTGCTTCCCCATGACCTGGTTCAAAGGTTATTCATTTAACTCTGTATCCCTTAATCTCTGTATGTTACATGTAGTTGCTGAAAGCATGAACTAGACTCTTTGTAAGTTGATTTTTGAAGAGAAAATCAAAGATCAAATGAATAGTTAGCTTTACATTAATCTGCATATAGGTCTTTTATATATACCACTGAAAACTTCTTTACATACCCCTGATAACCTAGAGGGATCTTGGTGCCCACCATTACTTGATCTTCATTTGCTCTTTGAAAGTTGGATATTTTCTCTTTTTTTTTTCTTTTCTGTTTTTGTTTAGTGATAAAAAAAACTAGAACATTCCTTTGCAGAAATAGCAATGATAATCTTTAACTGTCAGATAAATGATGGTTGCCTGGAAGCCATTTTGCTTTTTCTGATCAGTCTCAAAATCAAACAGGCACAACTACAGATAAAGGGGAACCGACACATGAAATCTGAGAAAGATCTATATTGTAGTTCTCAAGAAATAGGGAAAACAAACATTCAAAGTAAAAATCCAAGATGGCCGCCTGTTGGACATTTTGTTTTTCTGATCAGATCCATAACCAAACAGAAGGAACTAGGAACCAAGGGGCCCACACACTTGCAATTTAAGAAAGATCTATGTGGCTATTTTTTTAGAAACAGCAATAACAAGCTTTCACAAAGTCAAAATCCAAGATGGCCACCTGTCAGCCATTTCGTTTGTCAGATCAGTCCCAAAATAACATGGGCACAACTAGGGTAAAAGGGAAGCCTACATTTGAGATTTGTGAGAGATCCAGAGAACACTTCTCAAGAAATTGCAAAAACAAACTTTACTCGGCAAAATGATCAGTTTCAAATTGGACAGACAATGAACAAATGGATCGACGAATGGACCCTGGACATATAGGGCAATTTGAAAAGCCCACCATATAATGAATTATCTTATTCTGATCTCAACTAACCTCCATTAAAGGTCTGAAGTTTATTCGTGCAGATCTCAACTAACCTCCAATAAAGGTCTGAAGTTTATTCGTGCAGATCTCAACATACCTCCATTAAAGGTCTGAAGTTTATTCGTGCAGATCTCAACATACCTCCAATAAAGGTCTGAAGTTTATTCGTGCAGATCTCAACATACCTCCATTAAAGGTCTGAAGTTTATTCGTGCAGATCTCAACATACCTCCATTAAAGGTCTGAAGTTTATTCGTGCAGATCTCAACATACCTCCATTAAAGGTCTGAAGTTTATTCGTGCAGATCTCAACATACCTCCATTAAAGGTCTGAAGCTTATTCTGTATCTCCTTGAACTTATCATCCATAAGAAGTATGGAATCTTCTAAGACAGAGGACTCACAAAATACAAGCATGTTCTTAGTCTGAAAGTTAAAAGAAATTAGTCAAACATTTAGGAATTCTTTGAAGTTATTAAACTGATGTTTATTGAAGGAAAGCTTATGATTTGTAAAATTTGATACAGTTTTCCAGTGTTACCTGTGTGAGGTTTTACCTGTGTAGAGTGTTATCTGTGTGAGGTTTTACCTGTGTGAGGTTTTACCTGTGAGAGGTTTTACCTGTGTAGAGTGTTATCTGTGTGAGGTTTTACCTGTGTGAGGTTTTACCTGTGTAGAGTGTTACCTGTGTGAGGTTTTACCTGTGTGAGGTTTTACCTGTTTGTGGTTTTACCTGCATAGAGTGTTGCATGTAAAGGGAGTTAACTTTGTGAGGTATTACAGGTGTATGGTGTTACCTTAATAAGCCATATGACAAGGCTGAGGAAGGCTGTCAGGGCACCATCATCAAACAGTTTCTTGACTACCAGGACAGTAAGGGGAGGTTTGTTCCAAGTCAGCTTTTGGTTTCTGGGGTCAGGTATTGTCCTGGAATCAAGCATAATGTCATGTATAAAATGGTGAGGTTAAGTATATACATAAAGTTATTTATATAATGTATAACAAATCAGGACATTATGTACCTATATACAAGAGCATTACCTTTTATCTTTAAAACAAAGTCAAGATACTTCTGTTGATCAGACTCATTTTCACAAAATCTTATTGATTTTGTATTCAATACTTGCACAAATCAAATCACTACAACATGTATTTTTTTTATATGAATTTCTAATATCTTATGCATACTCTGTAGTATTTTAGTGTGAAATATATCATTATTTACAGGTCAAGGTCATCATGTATGATGTATGTCAAGCAGAAACACAGTTCAAGGTCACTGTGTCTGTTACATGTGAGGCAGATACACAGTTCAAGGTCATTGTGTATATAACATGTGTATATAACATGTCCGGCAGATACACAGTTCAAGGTCATTGTGTATGTTACATGTCAGGCAGATACACACTGCAAGGTCATTGTGTATGTTACATGTCAGGTAGATACACAGTTCAAGGTCATTGTGTATGTTACATGTCCGGTAGATACACAGTTCAAGGTCATTGGGTATGTTACATGTCAGGTAGATACCCAGTTCAAGGTCATTGTGTATGTTAGATGTCAGGTAGATACACACTGCAAGGTCATTGGGTATGTTATATGTTAGGTAGATACACAGTTCAAGGTCATTGTGTATATAACATGTCAGGCAGATACACACTGCAAGGTCATTGTGTATGTTACATGTCAGGTAGATACACAGTTCAAGGTCATTGTGTATGTTACATGTCAGGTAGATACACACTGCAAGGTCATTGGGTATGTTACATGTCAGGTAGATACCCAGTTCAAGGTCATTGGGTATGTTACATGTCAGGTAGATACACACTGCAAGGTCATTGGGTATGTTACATGTTAGGTAGATGTTAGGTAGATACACAGTTCAAGGTCATTGTGTATGTTACATGTCAGGTAGATACACAGTTCAAGGTCATTGGGTATGTTACATGTCAGGTAGATACACACTGCAAGGTCATTGGGTATGTTACATGTCAGGTAGATACACACTGCAAGGTCATTGGGTATGTTACATGTCAGGTAGATACACAGTTCAAGGTCATTGGGTATGTTACATGTCAGGTAGATACACAGTTCAAGGTCATTGTGTATGTTACATGTCCGGTAGATACAGTTCAAGGTCATTGGGTATGTTACATGTCAGGTAGATACACAGTTCAAGGTCATTGTGTATGCTTTTTGTTAGGTAGATCAATGTATATGCTACATAACAAGCAAAAACACATTTCATGATCTATTATGAAATTTGGGAATAGAGGTTATGGTCAGGGAAGGAGCTATGGCAGGTAACAGACAAAGAAGAAGACAGGCTCTGAAACAAGATGTTCATTATACCATAAAAGATACTCTTCAGTGGTCAGGTAATTAAAGCAGGTATAACATCAAAGTAAAGGTATCGCGCTGGTGGAGAGAAAGTCGATTGAACCCACAAAATAATTCAGTAGCTCTAGATATTCTGGGATGTCCAGCATAGTGAGCTCTATAATTCATGGCTGCTAACATCCACGATCTTCTCCTCAGCACCTATATAACAACTGGTCTGACATGGGCATGGAAAGCAAGATAAATCTCCATGATTGTCAGTGATTTGAGGATAAGCTGTATATTCTATCTCCATTACAATTAATTCTATAATACCTGAACTCTGGTGATGACTGTGATCTCCAGTCGTATATAGAGCTTTAATCATAAATACTTTTAATATATTTTCTAGTAAAACAATATCTGTCCTGTTTGTATCAGTATAATAAATGATTAAATATAGACTTTAGTTAGCAAGTTTCTGGTTTCTCTTGACCTGGGTTCTCAGAAAAAAATCTAACTTTCAAATTGTATCAGTTTAATCTATCTTCAACTTAAAGTGAAACCAAACAAGTTATAAAAAGCACTTAAGCCAATCACAGACAACTACTCTATACATCAGTAAATAACATGATCCTTATACCATATTTACAAGCATCTTTTCTACCTGATGATATTTCTGGTGTTTTTCTAATATCAGATGTTCATGTCATTTTCACCCTTTAAAGCTTTATATACAATTGTAATAGGAAAGAGGGATGAAAATTGTCCAGTTCCCACAAGGAATCAAACTAGCAACCTCTTGGTCATCATAAGTATCATATTTACCTCAATTAAGCCCTCTCTCCCTGTGTATAAGTTGTGAACTTAATTGTTAACTATGAGCTTACTATTTTGAATTAATGATTCTGCAAAAATGAAAACAGGGACTTATTTACTTGAAGGGGCTTATGGATAAATTTGGTAACATCCCCTACACCAAAGAAATGTCAAGATTTCACAGAATAGTTTTAGTATTACGATTTCACAGAATAGTTTTAGTATTAAGTATGGAACCTGGTGAACTTCAGGGCTAACAAACCCATCTATAATTGTTACTTTACATTATATTCATCAAATAAACAACAAAGGCAGAAATGGAAAGTAGGCCTACCAGCATTTGTAATGGAAGCTCCCGTTTGTACATGGTGTTTCATATGTCTGGCACAGTAAGTCTTCTTTAGCCTTTCTGAGTGTTTGTCTTAATACCTGTATCCCATTGTAACCATTATGACTTAAAGGTATTCCATAGCACTTGTTTTTACGACCAGAACTAGTAACGTCTTCACAACTGCATGTTTTGTTTTCAGTACAGATTTCCTCTTTCTTTGTGTCTGGTAAAGTTTGCACAGTGTAATCATAATGGCCTTGTTTTGCTGCATAATTTTCGATGTTTTTAATATTAGAACCCGTTTTTACATCAGTATAGGATTCATCTTTATCACAAAGAAGCTTTGATTTACACGTCCATTCCCCGATGTTGTTATTTTGCTCTAGTATTCCGTGCGGAACAATCAGTCCAACAACTTTCTGAGACTGTAATGTATTAGATTTATCCAAGTCACACATTGAGAGAGAGGGTGATGGGACATCACTTTTACAGTTACAAGTCTTACTTTGTTGTTCCTCCATACAGCGTCCAACATTACCCTGACAGTCACCTACCTTCATATCTGACCCAACAACAACACAATTTGACTCATCACAAGAAATATTCGAATGTTCTGAGCATTTTATATTTGAGCAATTACATTGCATTTGGTTTTTATTTTTATCCACACAAGCGTCTTCAGTGTGTGTGGAAATGTGTACCATATCTGACTTGCATGCACAATCAGAATTAGAGGTTTCTTCCTTTACTGATTCCTGTAAACATTCATGACTTTCATTGCCGGGAAGAGGTAGTAGTGTATTGCAGTTTTTCTTCAAAACTAAACTTTCGTGTAAAACTTCGCATGATGAAACCTTTCTGTTGGTTGAAAAGTGGGAATTGTTTGTTGGTGGTATCCATGGTAACATATTTGGGGTTACAAAACAACTATGTGATCGACGAACATGGTAAGCGTTGTGATGGGATTTATTATGCTGGTTTTCCAACATATCAATGTTTAAATCCTGGTTGGTCATCATGGCGTCAAAATCTGGGATACAATCCTCTGTCATGTTTGAAGCTTTCTCCATCAACTCTTTCTTATAGAATGTTGGAAGCACTGAATCCAGGGAAATTTGCTGAGAACATTCTCCACTATCACCAATCCTCATTTTCTCAAATATGCTTCTGAATCCTTAAAGATCTCTTAAGGCCCCTTACCAGCTTCCAGCAGACACATTTTGTCATATTGAATTAAAGCACAGGCATTTCATCAATCTATCCATCCTAGTAATGTGTCCCAGTTTTATCTGAGATACAAGTCTTTATCATCCTAGTATAGATATCTCCAGCCCTAGATAATACAGGAAATCACAATGAGATTTCATCACTGATATTCACCCACTGATCCTTACATCACTGATATTCACCCACTGATCCTTACATCACTGATATTCACCCACCGATCCTTACATCACTGATATTCACCCACCGATCCTTACATCACTGATATTCACCCATCGATCCTTACATCACTGATATTCACCCACCGATCCTTACATCACTGATATTCACCCACCGATCCTTACATCACTGATATTCACCCACCGATCCTTACATCACTGATATTCACCCACCGATCCTTACATCACTGATATTCACCCACCGATCCCATTACATCTTACATCACTGATATTCACCCACCGATCCTTACATCACTGATATTCACCCACCGATCCTTACATCACTGATATTCACCCACCGATCCTTACATCACTGATATTCACCCACCGATCCTTACATCACTGATATTCACCCACCGATCCTTACATCACTGATATTCACCCACCGATCCTTACATCACTGATATTCACCCACTGATCCTTACATCACTGATATTCACCCACCGATCCTTACATCACTGATATTCACCCACTGATCCTTACATCACTGATATTCACCCACTGATCCTTACATCACTGATATTCACCCACCGATCCTTACATCACTGATATTCACCCACCGATCCTTACAAGTCTATATGATATAGGTGTTACACAAATATCTAAACCTTCAACCACATTAACACCAATTAGCCTTTGAATATGAAAGTGTACAATACGTCACAGGGTGAATGAAACAAATGTTAAACAACATACAGATAAAAGATCTATACTTACATAATTAATAGGATTTAAACTTCCTTCTTCATTATACACAATAAAATACCTTAATGTCAACTTCCAGAATAAATCCTTTGGCACACAATGGTTCCTTCTTACACCCATATATTAACATTGATCAGATCTTATTTCTCAATTCCAATTATAACCCTGAATATCTACACCGTACACAGAACAAAAAGCAGCCTCCACCTTAGACCCTTGTAAATATGGCTAACTCTGAAGTCTACCTGCATCTGGTCAATTCTCTAACTCACCTGTGTACTTGTTATGACTTACGTACACACAACCAGCAA